CTGCTGAGCGCGGCTGGGTGCAGGGTCTGTGCCTGCACCCCAGAGCCTCGCGGTGCCGGAGGTGGGAGCGCGCCCGCTGTCCCGGGCACACGGCACCCGGGAGGGGACACCCAGCCCGGGCGCTGTCCTGCCTCTGCCAGGTCCCACGAGGCCATCCTCAGGATCCCCAACGAGCTCTTCTACGACAGCGAGCTGAAGGCCTGCGAGAGCAACGGGCTCGACGTCCGGAGTCTGTATTGCGCCTGGGAGGAGCTTCCCAAAAAAGTGAGGGGGGGCAGCAAGGAGGGGGCCGGGGGGAGCCCTGAGCCGCAGGCGGAGCAGAGCCCGACGCTCTCCACCCCCAGGGCTTCCCCATCATCTTCCATGGGGTTTGTGGGGAAGACCGGAGAGAGGCCAAGAGCCCCTCGTTCTTCAACACGGCTGAGATCGAGGTGCTGGTCGACTACCTCAAGAAGCTGCTGCAGAGCCAGGGCAAGGGGGGCTGCCCCCCCGTCTCGCCCAAGGAGGTCGGCATCATCTCTCCCTACAGGAAGCAGGTGAGGGGGGCACGGCTCTGCTGTCCCCAGGGGACGGGGGGCACTGGGACAGAGGGGCAGCCCCGGGGCTGGCACCTGGGGCCAGCTCTGTGGCGGCTGGACTGTGCTGTGTGCCCCCCCTCCCGCCCCCCAGGTGGAGAAGATCCGAAAAGCCATCACCTCCCTGGACCCCGTCCTGCGGGCGCTGCCAGACATCAGCCTGCTGAAGGTGCGGTCCTGGGCACGGGGGGAGAGGACCTCCCCCCCCAGCCCCAGCCCCGGGGGGGTGCCCCCCGGCCCCTCACCCGCTCTCCCCACCCCAGGTGGGCTCCGTGGAGGAGTTCCAGGGCCAGGAGCGGCGCGTCATCCTCATCTCCACCGTGCGCAGCTGCAGCGAGTACCTCCAGCTCGACCAGACCTTCAAGCTGGGTTTCCTCAAGAACCCCAAGGTACGGCGCTGCGCCGAGCAGACCCCGCTCCCTCGGCACCCCCCCTCACTGGAGCTGCCGGCACCCAGCTGGGGCTGGGGAGGGGGCCGGGAGGCCTCACTCGTGTTCTCTTTTCAGAGGTTCAACGTGGCCATCACCAGGGCTAAGGCTCTGCTGATCGTGGTGGGCAACCCGGCCGTGCTCAGCAAGGACCACCACTGGCAGAGGTGAGCCTGGCCCCGCCGCGGCCGATGCTGGCGAGTGCCTGTGGCCGGAGGCAGCGTGGCCAGTGCCGCCAGCGTGGCCAGTGCCCACTCGCCCCTTGCTCTGCACCCACAGGTTCCTCAGGTACTGCAGGGACGAGGGCGGCTGCACGGGCTACCCCTACGAAGACGAGAGCCCGGCCGAGGACGGCCTCGCCGCCGACCTCCATGCCCTGCACCTCGGCAATTAGCACCCAGGTGAGCGGGGAGGCTTCGCCTGCAGCAGGGGTGACAGGGCTCACGCTTAGGGGGTGCCTGTCCCCTCCCGAGCCAGGGGCCACCTCTGTCACAGGGTTTCTCTGCAGGAAACCTGCCTGGGAAAGGAGGAGAAGCCCTGTGGAGCTCCAGCACCCCTCAGCCTGCCCCTGGCCTGCAGCAGCCGCCTGCTCTCCCCTGCCTCGGTGCCGGGGTGCTCAGCGTGCCACGCTGCGGGGATGGGGCTGAGCCCGCTGGGCAAGGGCATCCCCCCAGCCTCCACTGCCAGCCAAGACCCCCTGCCCAGACTGCAGGGCAGCCCTTGCAGAGCAGGACCACGCTCCATTTTAAAGTTTTTGACACATCCTTGGAAAGCCAGTTCTCTCTCACCGTTCAAGGACCGGTTTAAGCGAGAGGCAGCCTCCAAAGAGCATCGCTGGGTGTGCAGGGGAGCTCCGTGCTGCTGCGGCAGGTGACTGGGGTGCAGGCAGGGTCCCAGGCTGGGCTGCTCTGCCAGGCAGCTGCCTGGCCCGAGAGCTGGCACACTTCACTTCTGTTTCCCTGGAATAAAGGTTTAGATAAAAATGGTGTATGCACGTCACGTCCTGGGCCCTGCCGCCACAGCCGGGGCAGGAACAGGCTTGCTGCTGGCCTGCCCCGACCTGCGCCAGCGCGGTTACAGAGGGCTGGCCCCGCAGCACCAGTCACACCAGGGCCTGGGCACGGCTGGGGAACTCCCGCCCAGCCCTTCCCACACAAGCTGCTCCCTCGGTCTTACCCAAGCCCAGGGTGACGGGCCCTGACCCTGCAAGAGGGGCTGGGGGCCGAGCAAGTCCCCCCCCCCTGCAGCGCCTGGACCCGGCCCCCAGGCAGCATCCCAGACAGAGCAGGGGCACCAAGGATGCCGCGCAAGCGGAGTTACGGTTACTAAAAGACCAGTTGGCATTTATTCTCCCGATTACGCAGGTCAGTTGACCGGTGCCGAGTGCGTGACCAACGCAGACTCGGCGGTGGTGGTACCGGCAGAGCCGGGCAGAGGCGCTGCCCCAGCCCGGGCCCCGGGAGCAGGGTGCTGCCGCCAGCCCGGCTCCGCACACATGGGGCCAAAACCTGCCCTGGGCAAAGCCTGGGTGAAGGGCTGGTGCGTGCTGCCCGCACGGCCGGGGGCCAGCCCACCCCACGCGCGAGCAGCCAGCGGCACCTCCCGGAGCGGCGGAACCGGCACAAACCGGGGCGAGGCAGGGAGCCAGGCGAATGCCCGGCCCCCAGAGAACGGCGGGTGCCGAAGGCTCCTCCGGGCCCCCGCGTCTCGCAGGGGCACCCCGCGGGTTGTGGGCGGCGGGTCTCGTGCAGAGGGATGGGGGGGCAGGTTCTGGCACCCCGAGGTGGCCAGCGCTCCCTCCCCGCGCGGCGCAGGGCGACGGGGGGCCGGCGCAGGCAGCTCCTCCTGGCCCGCCGGGCTGCTCACAGCAGCGGGCAGCCTCTGCGCTTCTTGTTCTTCCGGACCTGCAGGCCGGCGCGCGTGGCCATCTCGAAGACCTCCCGCACGCCCTCCTTCGTCTTGGCCGAGCACTCGAGGTAGCCGAAGGCATTGATCCTGTTGGCCATGTCCCTCCCCTCCTCCGGCTTCACCGGCTCCTAGAAAGCGTTAAAAAGAGGGTTTGGGAGCGTCGCCACAAAACAGCAGCAAAAGCACAGGGCCTGCCCTCGGGGCACCCAGCCCTCAGCGCCCCGATCCGGCCGGCAAAGGGGCGGCACGGGGAGAGGCGGGTCGCCGGCCGAGGCTGCGGGACCCAGGGCTGCCCCCCGCCCCCCCCCCACCTGCTTCATCTTCGCCAGCTCCCGCCGCGTGTGCTCGTCGTTCCGCAGGTCCTTCTTGTTCCCCACCAGGATGATGGGCACGTTGGGGCAGAAGTGCTTCACCTCTGGCGTCCACTTCTCAGGGATGTTCTCTGCAACGAGCACACGTGGACCCCCCTGAACCGAGGGGCTGCTTCCCCCCGGCCTCCTCGCAGCCGCAGGAACCGGCGCCGGGCTTTCCCCCCAGGAAAGGGGGAGAGCTCGCCCCGCAGCATCCTCCTCTCCCACCGCCTCCACCAAACCAGCAAGTTCCCAGCATCTTCCCAAAGCAGGAGATGGAGGGGAGGGACGGGCATCCCCCAGAGGTGCAGCACGGGGGCTTCCCAGACCCCGGGGGGGTTTAGCAGCAGCACCCAGTCCTGTGGGAGCCCCAGGTCCCCCCTCGGCCCCTGTCCCTACCGAGGCTATCCGGGCTGTCAATAGAAAAGCACATGAGGATGACGTCTGTGTCCGGGTACGAGAGGGGCCGCAGTCTGTCGTAGTCCTCCTGTCCAGCCGTGTCCCACAGAGCCAGCTCCACCTGGGAGGGGACAGGGACGCGGCTCAGCAGCTCGCAGGCGGCTCGGCAGGCCAGGAGCCAGCAGGTTTATCTGCCTCGGTTATAGCCCCAGTCTTCCTCCAACTGGGGCGGGTTCAGGGTGACCCAGAAACGCAGGAGCCGTGGGGCTCCCCCGAGCACTGCGGGTGCATCCGGAGCCACACGGACCAACCCCCGCGGGAGCGAGGGGACGGGAACCCCGCGACGACCCTTACCTGCTTCCCGTCTACCTCGATGTCAGCAATGTAGTTCTCGAACACGGTGGGCACGTAGACCTCGGGGAACTGGTCCTTGCTGAACACGATCAGCAGACACGTCTTTCCACAGGCACCGTCTCCCACGATCACCAGCTTCTTCCTGATGGCTGCCATCGCTGCGGGGACAAGGGCGGGTGAGCGGGACACAGCGGCCGCGGGCAGCCCACGTTCCCGGCCCCTCCTGGTCCCCCCCGTGCCCCAAAATCTTTCGCATGGCTGCCCAGGAGGGTAGGGGACACAGGCACCCGGGCCCAGCCCAGCGTGAGCAGCCGGGGGGCACTGGGACGGAGGGTCTCGGGCCCAGCCACCCAGCCCCTCCCGCGTTGGGCTTTCTCCCTGTGCCACCACCCCGGGCAAATGGCTTTTCTGATCATCTGAGTCGCACGCACCCGCTGGTTTTATTTCAGATTATAAATTCTTCAGGGCAAAAACTGCACTCCGGGTTTCACCCAGGCACGCTCACCACCTCCCAAATAATCCGATCAGCAGCAGGAACGTGCTGAGCCGAGCTCTCGAAGGTCTGGGCGAGCACAACCTGCGCGCCTGGCACCCGGCACCGGGCTGGCCCCGTCCCAGCCTGTTTGACAAAGGAGCCTTTGCCACATAATGACCGAGAGCCAAGGCTGGCACCGGCAGTACGAGAAGCTGCCAGCCATCACTCAGCAGACAGAGCTGAAACCCCTCAGTAAAGGAGGCTGCTTTCTGCCCCAAGGAAAAAGGATGCAATCCTGTGAGGAGAGCTGTGCCTTTGCATCCCTGAGTTTCAAAAGGAGATTACAGCTGAGCCTGGGAATTTCTCAGGACGATGGCACAGAACGCCTGCCATGGTGCCTGAGAAAATCAGCCATGGTGGGATCACATCCCGCCCTGACCTCGGGCCCAAAATGTCTTTCCCATCCCCAGATGCTTCAATCCAAAGAGCCCGACCCACTCCTTATGCACCTCTGGCACATCACCAGCTCTGTCCCCGCAGAAATCCTGGGCAAGATGCACACTGACAGCTCAGGGTTTAATCCCTGGAAAGGCACACGCTGCTCTCTGGTCTGAGGGAAATTACAGGCGACCAGAAAACTGCTCAGGAAGGCAGGGACGCTGCACGTCCCCCAGCCAGCCCTGGCCCTCTCCAAACCCCCTCTGCCCAGGCTGGCAGGACCGTGAGGGACAGTCTGGGCTCAGAGCCTTGGGGAGGTTCAGGGGAAATAACCGTGCGGGAAGGACGCGCACACCTACACCAATACACCGAGCTGCGAGCGCTGGGAGCGGATCACACTGGGATCGTGCTGGGAAGACTGGCCATCAGGAGCTTGGCATTAGCCAGCGCACCGGCAGTGAGCCGTAAGGAGGGCCTGGCGCCTGTCCTCCCCCGGGGCAATCACACCCGCACCCTGCGCCAATGGAAAAGGGAGGAAAAGAGAAAAACCCGAGTGAAGCTGCATTATAATTAGCTGCAAGTGAAGGATTAAGAAGTTCGACTCAGCGGCTGACTTGCATTTCAAAAGCAGGCTCCTCTCATCTGCACATTTAGCAGGTCACTGCTAAGCTCCTGCCCCAGGAGACCTCCCCAGGGCTGTCACACAAACCCCCAGGGAAGTCTCAGGGACCACCCCAGCTCCCACAGATCAAACTGCCCAACCGTGTGGTTGGGGCAGAAGACAGAAAGGTTTCACCCAAATCCAGGCCAGACCCTGCCAGAGCCCCGGATCTTTGCAGGTTACACGCACTCTGGCTCACAAGCAAAGTGGTTCGTGGCTGCTGAGTGCTGTGGAGCCATTAATAAAAATAATAAGTCGGCACTTGTAAGGTGAGAAGATGAGGCTGAAGGGCCGTGTCTGGCAGGATCCAGCACTCCTCAGCCAGGAGCCTCGGCGCTAGGAACACATCCCAGTGGCGCAGAGTGTCTATATAGAGGGTGAGCACACTGGTGCAACACTAAAGTTGAAGAAAAAACTTAAAGTGCCCAAAGGGTCCCACTGCTGGGGGCTGAGTGCGGAGGGGAAACCCCCCAGCACAGCTCCTGTCCCCTTTCCTCATGCCCCCTTGCTCCTGCCCGTCCCAGCTGGGCCAGGGATGCCCCTGGCCCCACGCACAGGCAGCCAGCCAGGAGCCCATCCCGAGGACACACGACATTTGTGCTGTGGAGGCAGATAAAAGGGCTGGAGGACTCTGCTGTCTCCTGCCCTCTTGAGCAGGGAAAGCTCTGGAGGACAGCGTATCCCTGGGGACACAAGAAACGCATCACCCCCTTTGCAAACCATCCTCATCTGACCAAAGGCTCATCCGCTCTCCAGCCACCATCTCCACAACACGGAAAAAGGAGAGCTCATGGGCAAAAAAGTCTGTTTATTTAGACAGAAAACTCCTTTGCCCACAGCAAAATGCGATTTGCTGCTTTGCGGCTCCATATCTCAAAGACGAACGGAGGAAGAACGGTGGCGTGGGGTGCGCCGCTATCTAATCCTGGCGACGCAGGAGACGACACACCCGCGGCGCAAGGAACAGCGGCTGCCCGGGGACACAAACACCCGCTCCCAGACGGACGTGCGGATCTGCCCGCGCCCGGTCTGCCGCACACCGGACCTCAAACAAAGCCAACCGGAGCAGCCCAGCACCGGGCAGCGCCCGCCCTGCTCCCCTGCCCGCTCCCAGCCGTGCAGAGCCCCGCGCCCCCAGCTCCTCCCCATGGCCTCGGCTGTCCCCCCTGACCCGGGACGGCTCCCGAGCCCGGCGTGACACTGAGCGGTGACTCAGTGGGCAGAGGCACCGTCCCCACCCAAAAATCTCAGCACGATTCATTCCATTACTCACGAGAGCGACCCAGAAATAGCCCGTCGCTAACCCAGAGCTGGCGTGCAAGGGGGCCGTGAGCGCTGCGCGCCGCGGTGGCCGGCTGGGCTGTGCCCGGCCGTGCCCTCGCCCCACCAGCCAGCCGGCACAGCACCAGACGCCGGTGGCACCTCGCTCGGGGAGGGATGAGCTCCTCTGGCAGGGGGTGCTCTGTCACTCGGCAGGACGAGGCCGATCCCTGGGACAGGGGAGCCCGATGCAAAGGGCTCTGCACTGTTCCCAAATGGCGAGTGGAGAAAAGAGAGGAAAACATGAAGACGGTTTGAGGACTGGTTTACTGCAACTGCCAGCAGGCCAAATGATTAAAAGGACACAGTCGCCCACATCAGACATGGAAATTCAGATTTTAAACTCTGCTGAGTGTTAACCACCCCGAGTCACGGCGAAGGCTGCCCAGCCACGTCGGCAATCCAACCCGGCCCGTACAGCAAGCGTGGCTTTTGGGCATGAGCAGCACCTCGGGAGCCTCCCTGGAGATGCCTCCCGCTCCCTCACAGAGATAACGAAAGGGAACAGCAGCTCCATGCCCCCACCGTGGCACTGCCAACCCGCCCCGGGCTCCTGCTGGGGCCACACCGGGATGGCCGTGGGTTTAATCTGCGCCACTGCTGCCGGCAGCGCCTAATCCTGAGCAGGCAGCTCCTTCAGCACCCCAAGAAATTGCAAAATGAAACCAAATTGTTCTGCTTTCCAAGCAGCTATTCTAAAGCCATCACTGTTAAACCAGCCAGGGCTCCAGGACAGCCCTTGCGTTGGTCTCCCCCAGCTTCATGCCTCAAAATTACAAGTTCCTGCTGAGCAGGAAAAGGGGAATTCCTCCGGCAGCAGGATGTGTCTGTCATCCAGTGTCTGCTACAGGATCTCAGGAAATGGCAGAGAAAAGTGTTAACGCTTTGAAGAAGGGCTCAAACTAGGGACTGAAATCTTCCAAGAAACCTCCTTGGCAAGGCTCGAGCTCCCCAAGCTGACAGAGGGGTTTTGTTCTAAAGCAGAAATTCCCAAGCGCTGCTGGTGACAGCCCCACCCTGGCCCGACCTGTCACACCACCTATCAGCAAAACCAGCTGAATTTCTGTTCTGTCCACAGCCCTGGCCGCAGGCAAGCCCCGAAGCCTGGGGACCCCTTGGAGCCGGGGCTCAGGGAACAGCCAGCCCCCTGCATGCAGCCCTGTCACCCACCCAGACCCCCCAGCACCACCACAAGAGGAAAAACCACCTCTTTGAACAGCCCAAGATCTTCCTGGTATTGCTGTGTCCTCAGCTCTGCTAAACTTTTCAATGGTTTGATAAACAAAAGCATCCAGAGTGCTGGTTTGGGCTGTTTTGATTTAACTCTTGTTTGGGAAGGAGCTGGGCCGATGCAGCACAGATCAAGCCCAGGGCTCCACCAGCCACGGGGCGTTTAACTGGATTTCAAAAACCCCAAACTACGCGCCTTCAGCTCAGGCTGTGCAACCTGTAACAGAGACAAGACCCGAGGCAGCTCACAGCATCCAGAGAGCACGACACACTAGCAGGGAACACAGAAAGTGTTTTCTGAGCAGGGCAGCCAAGCACAAGCCGTCTCCACTTCTAAACACGGCCGTGTGTGTGCCCAGGGCGCTGGCCAGGGCACCTGGGGACAGGGCCCCGTAGAGGAGCCACCGGGCAAACAGGAGCCACTTCGGGCAGCCACAGGCCACCACGGGCACGGTCGGGGGCACGGGGGGTGCCTCCCTACGGACACCCCCGGGAGCAGCTCTCCTCCCGCCCCACCAACCGGCCGCAGCTCCCGTCAGCACAAACTGGGAGCCCCAGCACAGTGGGTGCCACAGCTGTCCCCAGGTTAAAGTAGTTGGATGGGGATTGAAGGTGTTTGGGGACAGGAGGACAGAGGTACACGGGTCACTTGCATGCATTACCAGCAGAAAGCCTCGCAGTTTCACAGCAGAAAGTTTTAGCTGGTGGGACTTGCTGGTGCAATGAAAAAGAAAGTAAACTTCTAAATTAAAATCTGACAGGTATGCCCATTGAGGGGAATTTAATTTGCTGAGACATCTGAACAGTGGCCAAGGTAGCACAGAGCAAGTGTCCTGGCAAGTGCCTCGGATATCAGAGGGACTCTTATTCAGAAGCAGAAGTTCCAAAAGGGCTTGGAGCGAAGAGCAATGCCAAAGGGAAACGCCACAGCCAGGCCAGCACTCAGGCTCTGAGCTCCTGGGCGGATCGCAGCTCCGAGCCGATGAAAGCAGAGCTGGCCTTGGCACAGCAGCATCTGCTGATTGAAGCCCCCGCAGCCCCCAGGGCAGGCCGAGCTCTGCACAGAGGAGATCAGCCCCCAGCCCTGCCCACCAAAACCACCATCGCTGAGCCCCCGCGCCAGAACTCCCCGGCACGGAGCGCCCAGGGGAGGGTCTGTGCTCACCCCCGGGAAAGCTGCCTGAAACCTTCTCAGGACCTAGACCTGCCACGTCCAAACGGCGAGCGATCATCAAAAATGGAGCTCAAACCCAGTGCTTAAGTTTTAGGTCTTACCAGCTTTTTTCTAAAATTGTGAGCTATTCCCTGGGTGTGACCGGACGGCCGGGGCTCACAGCATGCTCCAGCGCAGCAGCAAAGGGCAAGTGCCCAGACCCGGAGCAGAGCAGCCAGGCTGGCTTGGTTTCATTGCTAAATCCCACAAAAACACCCACAAGCAAAACAGAGAAAGGGACTTAGAACAGAGGAATTTTAAAGCCTAAACAAAGCTTGAACCACAAGTGCTTAAGCTTTGTGGGAAAACGCTGCCTGCCCTTACCTCCTTTTCCAAAGGACATCATGCCATGTTCTTATTTTACCTCCCACGGAAGCAACAGCCTTCCCAGGCTCACGACAGGACAAGCATCTTGCTGAAAGCCTCAAATAACACACCACGATCTCGGCAGACGCCTGTACTTGTGCAATGCCTGACTGCCACTGCCCCAGGGCCAATCAATATTTGCTAATACATTCCTTACTTTTCATGTCAATACGCCTCTCCAGTGTAAACAGCAAGTTAGGAGGTGAGCCTGGTTAAACGCTCCTGATAACCTGTTGGAAGACAGTGACTTGGCTTATTTTCCACTTAAAAAAACATTTCCCTGGAGAAGCTGTAGCTGTCAGGAACATGTATTCAATTTAAAGCCCGTAAAATCTCACGCAGCCTCTACCTCTACTACCTGTAGCTGAGAAAGAGGAGCTGAACACCGACTGAAACTGTTTGGACACCAGAAGGCACTTGGAAGAGTGAAAATAAAATGCAACTGGTCTCAGTGAAATAAAGACAGCCAAAGCCGCGACCTCCCCGTCTCCGGTTTCGCCACCCGAACGCTTTGCTGGGGATGGGGCAGAGCTGCTGCCCGGCCCGGGGGGCTCCGCGGGACCTGGCTCCCAGCCCACCCCCCGCGCAGATGCACCCTGCGAAGCAACCCGGGGCTCACGCTGCCGCTTCCACGGGGGGTGGCGAGAGGCTGAGGCTGGATTTTGGGCGTTTGGCAGCTGCTGGGCAGATTTGGCTGCCAGATTGTTAGTGCTGGAAAGGGCCGCGCAGTCATGCTTTTGGAATGCTCCCTTGCTCCTAAGACATTACACAATTATTTCTCCTCCCCGCAAGCCCCCTAACGTAAACGTTTAAAAATGAGCTCAGCAGAAAGCAAAGGGAACTTTTTTTCCTTTTTCTGAAGAAAACAAGGAGCAGCCGCTCTGCGAGCAAGGTCGTGCGCGGGGACGCGGCTGGAGCGGGGGCTGTGGGGAGGGATGGGGGGGACGGGGCAGCAGCCCCAGCCCAGCCTGGCCCCGGCAACTCACGGGCGGGGGGGCGGCGGGGGGGGCAGCGGGGAGCCCCGTCCAGACCCGCAGCCCAAGGCCGCCCCCGAGGTAGGACCCATCCCTGCCCCGCACCCAGGGCCCCCCACCCCATCCCCGGCACGCCCGTCCCACCCTGTCCCGCTGCGCCCCACCCAGCCCGGCCAGGGCACCCACCCCCATGCCCGGCTCCCCCGGCAGCGCCCCACTCCCCACCCAGCACTGACCCCGCACCCACCAGTAAGCCCGCACCCCAGTTCCCCCAGATCCCACCAGTAACCCCAGACCCCAGCTCTGGCCCCACACCTTACTTGTACCAGTAACCCCCCAGCCCAGTTACACCGACCCCGGCCCTCGCTGACCCCGCAGCCCCCGGCAGTGCCCCCCGGCAGTGCCCCCCGCCGCTCAGCCCCCCAAGCCCCCCGCACCTCTCTCCGCCGCCGCCCCGGTCCCAGCCCCGGTCCCGGTCCCGGCCCCGCAGCGCGGCTCGGGCGGCGCCGCCCCGTCCGGGGACGGCCCGCGGAGGGCGGGGCGGGAGCGGGCCGGGCCGGACCGAGCCGGGCTGAGCCGAGCCCCTGCCCCTTCCCCCCCGCTGTCCCCATCCCGGCGTCATCCACGGGCCACCCCGTACTTTGCCCCCCGACCAGGGACCCCTCGCCGTCGGGGCACCTCTCGAGGAGACGCCTTTCCCCCCCCGAGCGTTATTTATGGCAGCGCCGAGAGCCACCGGGGGCCAGAGGCGAGCTCGGCCGGGGAGGGCAGATCCCAGCGGGGGCAGATCCTAGCGGGGGCAGATCCTAGCGGGGGCAGATCCCAGCGGGGGCAGATCCTAGCGGGGGCAGATCCCAGCAGAAGCAAATCCCAGGGCAGGCAGATCCCAGCGGAGGCAGATCCCATGGAGGGCAGATCCCAGCAGAGGCAGATCCCAGCGGGGGGCAGATCCCAGCGGGGGCAGATCCCATGGAGGGCAAATCCCAGCGGAGGCAGATCCCATGGAGGGCAGATCCCAGTGGGGGCAGAACACAGCAGAGGCAGAACCCAGCGGGGGGCAGATCCCAGCGGGGGGCAGATCCCAGTGGAGGGCAGATCCCAGTGGAGGGCAGATCCCAGCGGGGGGCAGATCCCAGCGGGGGGCAGATCCCAGCAGAAGCAAATCCCAGGGCAGGTAGATCCCAGGGAGGCAGATCCCATCAGAGGCAGATCCCAGCGGAGGCAGATCCCAGCGGAGGCAGATCCCAGGGAAGGAAGATCCCAGCAGAGGCAGATCCCAGCAGAGGCAGTGGGGACCAGCACCTGAGGCCCATCGGGCCCCTCCTGTGTCCCCCACGTGCCACCCAGGCTGCTCACTCCTCGAGGAAGGCCCCATTTGCCACCGTGACACGCTGTGGGGGCCTGGGGGACATTCCTTGTCCCCTGGATCTCCAGTCCCCTCGGGGGGGGCACTGGCAGAAGGGGGCTGTGACACATTGCACCCCGCACCCAGATGCCCCCAGTGCCGCTGGCGAGGGTTTGGCTCTCCTTGCCCACCACGGGCTGTTGGTGGGGGAGGACTGGGCGGCTGCTCCTCCCCACAACACCCCAGCTGCAGGGCTGAGTCCCTGTCCTCAGCCAGGGAAAGGCATCCCCAGGGTCCTGGCCCAGACCCAGGCTCATAAACTGCTGCTATTTTAAGGGCTCAGAGACAGTTTTTCTTAATTTATCAAGCCCTAGGCCAGGAGCTGGTTCCAAAGGAAATGTTTCCTTAGTGAAAAAGGGACCACAGAGGAAGCTCTAAAGGCAGCCTCTGCCTCCTTGCCTCACCCGGCAGCTCCCAGGCAGCGACCTGGAAAAGCAGAGCCAGCTCTCAGCCACCAGCACGAAGAGGGGGACAGGGCTGTGCAAACAAGCATGGGGGGACCTGGGGGTGTGGGGAAAAATGTGTGTGAGCATCAGGAGCAGCGGGTGGCAGTCAGGGGGACGTGGGACAGTAGGGATGCTTCCAGCAGGCAGCCCACCCTAGAGACCGGGGGTAGCTGCTGCTGGGACACCCGAACCCCAAAGAGGGGTCCTGCCTGCGGCACAGCCGTGTCCCTGGGAGCTCCTCCAGGAGCCACAGCCCACCCCACTCCCTGAAGGAGTGACCCCACGGGCAGGAAAACCATCAGCCTTTCTCCTCCCGTGCCTGCCTGTGCCCGGGCACTGGCCGCAGCAGGGAGCAGCCGGGGGGGCCCTGGTTTCAATCCTCATCTAAGACCAGCCGAGCTGGTTTTCAATCCTCATCCAAGCCCGACACAGCTCTCGCCAGCGGTTACTGACCCACCTGCAACCCTTCCCCACCACTCCGGTCCCCACTGCTGCTCCCAGCCCGCCCCGGGGAGCTGTGACCCCCCGGGAGCCCTGGGCAGCAGCCCCAAGCTCCCACCCCCGGGGGTCTGGCCAGGGCCAAGGGCAGGAGGACAGCCGCTCAGATGGCTCTGCCTGGGGGCTATTTGCTACCCAGCCTGCCCACATAAATTAATCAGAGCTAATTGGCTTTTCGGTAAGTCTTCTTTGCAGGAGCTCTGCAATAGACTTTGAAGTGTATTGCGAGTGGCAAAACCTTTATTTAAACACACAGTGCCACACAAGGACAGGCTCCCGGCCCCAGCATCACTCCCTGCTCCCGTCAGCACAGATGCCAATAGGTTAAAATCTCAAGGGATAACTTTCACTTCCCATTAAATGCACCCAGTTTATTTACATCTCACTCATTGTAAGAGACAAACAACATTGACCAGAGGTGACACTTGACAAGAGCTGGCTCCACCCAGTGACAGCAGGACAAAAACCACTGGTGCCACAGAGCCTTTCCAAAAGAGGGCCCATGGCCCAGCTCTGCCCCTCAGCACACTGCCAGGATGGGACCATCCCTCATGTTTTGGGAGGATGCAGTGCTCTGCAGAAGTGCAGGAAATGCAGCCTCCAGCTCAGAGGTATGCATGGTGCAAAATAAGATCCTGTACAGCCATCAACTGCTGCTACAGCTCTGCTCAGCACCAGCTTTGAGATTATTAAGAAAAAGGAGGGAGTTGTCTTCCCCCCCCAGTCACAACCAAGCTGCTTTTATTGTGGGTTTCCAGCCCTTGGCTAAGCAGATCCATGCTGCGCATTTAAGCTGTTAAGCTTGGCTGAATAGGGCTGCTCTGTGTGCAACTGTGGCTCAGCAGTGGCCAACTTAGAACCGCTCAAAAATATAGACGTATATTCATACAGACTCCCCACACCAAGGATTTTCCGGCTCAGCTCTCCAGTTCATCATAAATAATTGGCTCCAGAAACACAGCAGCGATCCAAGGCATGCTGAGGGGTGAGGGCAGAATCCGTGGCACAGCCAGTGCAAGTGCAATAGCTCATTCCTTCCCCGGGGCTCACAGTGCACCGCAGCGACCAGGCGCTGCCCCGTCCTCCCAAACCTGAGACAGAGAGATGGTACGTGATGGGGACGAGGGGTGAGGGGCCAGAGGGGGGGCAAGCACAAAGCTGGGATGTCAGTCGTGGGGCTCACCCACCCACCAGGCCACCCACAACTGGAGTTCTGCTGGGCTGAGCACTGGCACCCAGCTTGTCCCGGCCCCAGCCGCAGCTTCGGTGTCACCAGTGCAAGTGGCACAGGGCAGGGGGGGAGGAGATGTCGGCAGCAGCAGCAGACACCTGCTTCTCCAGATACGAGTGCCACACCAGCCCGACAGCTGCAGCACGCTGCTGGAACCAGCACGCCCAGGGCGAGATGCAAAGGGCACCCTGAGAACCTTTAGGCTTTTCACAGCAATCAAGAAAGTGGCAGCATGAAAATATCCCTGGACCCCGGTCCTCGCTCTCTGTCCCAGGCCCCTCCATCTCCACCCGGGGCAGGGATGCAGCGCATGGACCAGGATGCTCTGGGCAGGGGCACAAACAGAGGCTCTGGGTTTCTCACTTCTCACAGTCAACTCAAGAAACAAGTGCTCGAGGGAGAGGTGGCCCCGAGGCAGCGCCAGTGTCCCGCTCGTCTCCGTCCAGGCAAGGCGAGTCCCACTGCCCCGGGGTCACTGGGCATCACGTGTAGTTGCCCGGGCCGCCCAGAGGGATCACAAAGACAGAAATGTCGTCGCCGGAGCCCAGCTTGTCGTTGGCCAGCCGCCAGCCCCGCTCCTTCAGCACCCCCCTGGACCGCACCACCAGCTCCTGGGCCACCATGGTGTACCTGGGGGGCACAGCACAGCGCAGCTCAGCAAGCGACCCCAGACCCTGCAGACTCCCTGACGCAGCGTCCAGCAGTCCCTGGCAAGGAAGGAGAAGCTGGAGGAGCTAGAGGTGCTGGAAAGGGTCCTTGGAGAGAGATCTGAGCTGAGATACGCACATCCAGAGGAGCAACGGCACCAGCCCCGAGGCCAGAGGACACACGGACACCACAGCTCCAGGGAGCAAGGGGAGGTGTTGGAGCGCAGGACACACTCATCCCCCTGGCCCCTCGCAGCTCACCTGCACAGGTCGTTGGGCTCGTAGCTCATCAGCACCTCCATCACCACACCAGCCACCTCCTTGTCATTGGTGACATCCCAGAGCCCGTCGGTGCCCAGGACCAGAACATCATCGGGGCAGTGCTCGTACTGCGTGAGGTCATAAACCCTGACCTGGCAAGCGATGGGGCAAGACGCAAGGGTGAGGGGCCGGGGAGGGTCCTGCTGCACTGGGCGCACCACAGACCTGGTCACCTCGACCTGCTCTGGCCGTTGCAGGAACCCCTGGGCGCAGAGCTGCCGGCAGCCAGGCTCACCTCCGGGAAGCAGGACAGGAAAGGCTTGATGTGGATGTTGGAGCTGAACACCTTGAGGTCATGGTCTCCCAGGCCCCGCGTGACCCCAATTGTGGCCATCACCCGAGCCTGGAGAACCGTGAAATCAAAAGGAAACGTTAAGCTGCTTCATCTCCACCTTCACTCCCAGCTGAGAATCAGTGGCATCGGAGCAGCGACAGCACTAGCAAAATCAGGCTGGAAATCCCCGATTCAGCAAGGGCAGGCAGGAAGCAACCCCCACACAGCTCCTGCCAAGCACTTCACCTTTTTGCCTTCCCCATAGATAAGTGGAAACTTCAGGTCATCTTCTTCCACCTTTTTGTAAGCCCTGGTTAAAATAAGCCAGAGACATGTCAGCGGGCAAAGGCTTCCAGCACCTCCCCTGCCCACTCAGGACACGACATCCCGTGGGACAAGGCCGCTTGGAGACCCGGGTACCCAGCACACCACAGCCCCCCGCCCCGCGGGAAGGGATGCCGGGGCCGGGCAGCCGCACGCAGCGGGACCCCAGCGCTGCCCCGTGGCACACCGGGCACGTCGGGGGGTTACCAGCCGTTCATGTTTTGGTCTCTGTACAGCATCTTCTTCCCCAGCTCCTTGGGCTGGATCCTGCGGGGGAACTCGAGGTGGGTGAACTCCTTCCCCAGCAGCTCGGGCCTCAGGAACGCCTGTGGGACGAAGCGGCGGCTCAGCCGCGGGGCCGGGAGCGCAGGGTGCGTGCAGGAGCGCCTGCCCTGCCGCAGCACCGGGCCCGCCAGCCTGCCACGAGCTCGGCCACGGCGTCAGCGATAGCATCAGCTGCTCTGCTGCAACTCAAACGGGCGGTGGCAAAGCAGCTTCAAGTCGCCTGTCTGTGCTACACCCAGAGGGGAGGCAAGAGCTGGGGACAGCCATGCCAACACCCCGCAAGAAGGTGAAGTTTTGCATGGAGTGTTTTGGAAAAAGGGGGATCTCCAAAAGGGATCAAAAGCCAGCAGATTCCAGCAGAAGCTGGGAGAGTCAGAGCCGCAAACCTCCCGGGACCGCAGGCTGGGCCCTCGCTCAAGGAGAAGAGCCGACGGGTCTGTTCAGGAACCGTGTCCTGGCTGCGGCCGTGACAAGGGACGAGCAGCAGCACAGAGCCCCTTCCCCGGGCAGCACCATCAGCCCCAGGAGCACAGCGTGCTGGGGACCGGGAACAGGGACAGTGTTGGAAAACGCAGATGGAGAAAGAAAGTGCAGAAAGAAAGGAGGAGAGCTCTCAGGAACGTGGGAGGGTTCGGTGCAGAGGCACAGAGAGCCCCATCCCGCGCTGGGGGGGCCCTGACCACGGCCTGGCACCGTGCAGCAGAGCATGTGCCTGGCCCCCTGCCTGCACCCTGCCCATCGCAGCCGGCTGGAGAGGATCCCGCTCACAGCAGTTTCCTCCTCTCGGTCATTCAAAAATAGATTCAAGAAAAAAATGCCCCAGTGTTTTTCCAAGTACATCGCAAGCCAGGAAATTGCATCCAGCAAGACCTCCTCCAACACAAATGCCGCCTCCTCTGTGCTGCCGTCAGAGAGGTCTTTATAACCTTAAAAAGCCTCCCTATGTGGCACAGGGGGGTTTGTCCAGGCCAGGCAGGAGAAGGAGCTTTTGGGAAGAGAGCTAGAAACCCGCTGGCACACGTCAGCTCCCTGCCTCCCCAGGGACCAGCGGGGGGAAGAAATTAGGACTCGGCGCAAGCGCTGCGGCTCCTTCGACCGTGCGAGGGAGCACGACGAGCCAGTGGGCTGGGGCAGCTCCCCACACCCCAGCACCTCTCCCCAACCCAGCGACATGGCTGGGATGGAAAAGTGCCATCGGCAGGTCCCAGCAGGTCCCTTGGCCCCCGGGACCCCACTGAGGAGGCAGCGTGGGGGGCTGGGAGATGGTTCAGCATCAATGAGGGTAGAAGAAAGGTCTTTCTTACTAAAAACTGCAGCCTCTGCCTCTCTGTCTCTGGAGTAAACTCCCTGGACATTGGAATGATTTCCCCATTACGGATGATAATGGCCCTGCAATGAAACATGGAAGGATGAGATTAGAGAGGAGACGTGGCGGGGGAGCTAAGCCTGGCTCTCCAGGGCCGATTCCCTGCAGGGCTGCCCAGGTGGTACAACCCCTTCCCCTTCTCCCCAGTCCCAAACTAGGGGGCTGCTTGCTGGCCCAGCTGCAGCTAACGCAGGGCATGCCTGTCTCCTGCCCAGGGAAGGGGTTAGGGAGGAAGAGAAATGGAAGAGAAGCATGGGGCAGAGGGGAACGGAGCAAACCAAAGGACAGGGTACAGTTAGAAAAGGAGGAGCACGAAGGTGGCGAACCCGCCTTTAGAGTGGAGGGCACACCAGGCAGGCAGAAACCGCCAGCAGCAGGACACGGGTGCGAGTGCCTGGCCCACATCGGCACGGCGGCTCGCTGCTGGGGCTGGTCTGACTCTGTGATGTGTTAAAAATAAAAGTCTGATTATGTTCCTAGATGTCACGGAGGGATCAAGGATCTCCAACAGTGACGGCCCAGCTGCCCCCCGCCCGGGGCTGCGGGTCTCCCCCAGCGGCACAGGGCCTGGTCTGGCGCCCGAGGAGGGGCTGGGGACCCTCGCCCAGGGCAGGATTACAGCCTCGGGGCCCGGCGCACGCTGCTGTCCCGCACAGCCAGCACCCGGCCGCTGCCACCATGGAGGGGCCCTGCACCCAAAAGCAGAGGCACGAAGGATCTCCTCCTCCTCTGTCCCAGAGCTGGAAGCACATCCTCCAGCCTCAGACAACTTACCAGAGCCTGGATGTGCTGGCCTGACACTGCTGAGGACAAGCTAACCCTGCAGTAAATACGGGGCAGTTCAAACCAGCCTCAGCACAGGGTGGGCTTGCCTTCCTGCCACGGCTTGGGGGTATGAACACACCCAGGAGCAATTACAGTAACAAGGAAATGTACGTATCAGTCAAAATCCTTGGGCTTCAAGCTCCCACGGGACTTGTCTGCACATAAATTTGTGTGTCCTTCTCCTGAAACAGTTCACTGCTATGAAGTGTGCCCTAAAATGACTTCTTGCATATTTTTGGAAGCTTTGCTGAGGGCAGTTTTCACTCCCCAACTTGCAGCCCAGGCCAGCGCTGGCAGCAGGGGCCCGGGTGTGATCCAGAGCCATCTGGGAAGCAGATGGAAAGGAAAGGAGAAAGTCCCACATTTTGGGAGATGATTCTTCAGCCCCATCTGTGCACCGGGCAAACCCGGGGATCACGGCTGTTCCCCCCATAGATGGGGGGTGGCTCTGCCCAGTCCCGCTGCCTCTGCCCTCCTCAAGCTAGCCCAGTTTCAGGGGCTCCAGCACAGCCCGGTGCTACCGGGGTGCTCCCCAATTCCTGGGTGAAAGGTGGGGGCTGTACCTGCTGTCACCAGCGTTGGCCACGTAGAACTTGCCCATGAGGTAGACGGCAGCCAGGGCGCAGCAGCCCCCCGACAGGCCCTGGGTCGCCCGCTCCCGCTCGATCTGGTCGTCCTGGGGAGACAGAGAGCAGCTCCAGGCAGGGCGGGCGGGCGGCCCCACGCCAGCCAGCAGAGCTGCAGGCAGCCCAAAATAGCGCCCGGCTGCTCGGGCAGCACCTCAGCTGCTGGCAGAGCCAAGGGCCAGCTCCCGGGGGGGAGAGCAGTGGCCAGCCAGCTCCCGGGGCACCCCTCCCCACACAGCCCAGGGGTGGCTGCAGGGGTCCTGCAGGGCAGCAGGGACTGCCGGAAAAAAGTGCACTGAAGCCCTCTGCACCCACACAGCCCCAGAGCCTCTGTGTCCTGAGCCCCCAAAATACGGGAGAGCATCACAGTGCCCTCTCCAAGACCAAGTGCCACTGCAGCCCCCTCCCTGGCTGCCTTTTGGTGGAGGGGACAAGCCAGTGCAGACACAGGCAGCAGAGAGATGCTCCCAGGGGATGCCCTGGGCATCCCCAGAGGCTGGGGCTCACTCACCATGTGCTTAAAGGCGTTCTCGATGGCACCGATCACCAGGCTCTCGTGGGAGACAGCTTTCTCCAGGTGAAACCGCGGCATGGCATCGTTGGGGACCTCCCTGTTGTCCTCTGCAAGGGGCACCCGGCTCAGCTCCGCAGGGCCAGCCCGCGCGGCGGGCGGGAGGCAGATGGGAGGTGGGGAAGGGTCCTGCAGGATGTCCACGAGGTCCCGGAGCTGCTCGCAGATGTGCAGATGGAGCCTCTTGGATGCCATGACAGCAGCGCCGCTGCCCGCATGGCCATCGAACAAGGCCCAGTAGTGGAAATAAAAACCCTTCCTGCCCTGCGGGGAGGGGAAAGAAGGTTAAGTGAGCCCACAAGGAAGCAGATGGGACAGGGAATTTGGAGCAGCTGGGGTCACCAGCTGAGGACAACGACACAGGGCTTTGCCTCCAGCTCACAGGTCCCAGCCCAGCGTGGGCAGAGGTGACGTGGGCAGCTGATCGAGGGAGCCTGGGCACAGCTGGTCCCTGGCTCCAGCCCAGCCCGGCGTCAGACACCCTGTGCTGCCAGCAGCGCGGCGCCGGCAGCCGGCTCCTCCGAAGGGGACACACGATGGGGCCAGCGCAGCAGCCGCCTGCGCAGCCCACGGGGCACGCGGGCCAGTGGCCTCCCCGGGCCGGCCAGCACTGGTGTCATCCCAGGAGGATGATGGCAGGAGCTGGCAGGGAGCAGGGAATCCCCGGGGACGCGGCAGCACGCACACATCACCACGTGCCCCACTTCGTGTCCTGCCGTGGGGCAGCCTCCCTGCCCGCGCAGCCCGGCTCTCACCCCGGCTGGTTCCCCGCCGCTTTCCTTGGACAGCGGCTGGCCCCTGGGGCTGGGCCTCCTCTCCACAAACACCACCTCGCAGCACGCCTGGTCCTCGTTGTGCTGGCTCTTCCCTGCATTTATCACCCTGCCAGAAGGAAACAAAGTGTAAAGGCTCTTTCTTTTACACCACGCTTCAGCAGAGGCACCCCATCCCGGGGGATGCTCTCTGCAGGTGCTCCAGCCCTGTCTGGGGGAGCAGCCAGGCGAGCAGGCGCCCCAGACCCGTCGTGTGGGTTAATGTGGGGCCAGCAGCAGTGCTCGGTCCCACCAGCTCAGCTGGGTGCTGGGGAGAGCAGCCACCCAGGCACCCACCGAGGGAGGTGACCTGGGTTTGCTGAAGGTCCCCACCACTGCCCCAAGCAGAGCGATTGCCCGAAAACCTGCACCAGCCTCAACACCACAGACCCAGCTGGGACTCACGGACAGGATTACAGTGTCATCTGTGTCCCATCACACCCAGCACCTCTCAGAGGGAGGAGGGGAGAAGGTAATGAAGATGAAACCAGCAGAACTTTTGCACGCTAACTTTCCACAGCCTATGCTAGCAGAGCAGATTTCATGTCTAGATTGCAAAACCTGCTCACGGGAGGAAGCTGTAAACATGCACAACAGGATGAGCTTTTTGGGCACGGACTTTTCAAGTGGTTTGCAGAGAGAAGTCTCAGGAGATGGAAGAGAAGTCTTGCTGCTGAGCAGAGGGTGGTTTTAGCTCCGAGTGGTCCTACCCCAGTATCGCCTGGTGCAAATGAGCATCTCAAAAGCTCTCTAGGACATCGGGAAGGTCAGCCCCAGCAAGGGATGCGGGGGTGGACTGGCAGCACCGGGCAGCAAAGCCGGCCTTCAAAGCCTGACCTTCAGTTAAGGGTGAAACTCGCAGCGAGTAAAAGGAGAAGAGAATCAGGCCCTTGAAGGGGAAGTCGAAATGCGGTCCCACCGCCAAGCCAGCGCCGGTTCCCTCCTCCCCCCGGGTCCTGCGAGCGCCGCAGCCGCTCCCCCACCCCCGGGTGCCGCTCCCCCACCGGTGACACCGCGCGTCGCGCAGGAAACAAGCGGGAGAGACGAGCCCGAACCGCCCCCCCCCCCCCCCTCCCCGGGGACGGGGGAAGCGCCCGAGGCCGGGCTGCCCCCTCCGCCGAGCAGCCCCCCCCTCCCGCCGCCCCCCCCCCCCCGGCCCCGCTCACTCGGCGTAGCCCGTGCTCCAGGGCAGGCGGCCCCGGCCGCGGCGGGGGCTCTGCACGGCCCGGCCCGCGTGGTCGCCGGCGCGGCGGAGCTCCCCGGGGCTCAGCTGGAGGAAGGCCGGCCGGCCGCAGGACGCCCCCGCCGCCGCCGCCGCGCCCCCCCGGGGCTCCGCGGGGGGCTCCGCGCCCACCCCCGCCACCAGCTGCGCCACGGCGGCGCGCACCCGCGGCACCATGCCGGCCCGGCCCCGCCCCCCGCCCCGCCCCGCGGGGGGGGCCGCCGGCGCAGCGGCGCGTAAGCGCATCGCTCCGCAGGGACCCCCCCCACCCCCCGGCCCGGGCGGAGGGAGAGCCGCCGGGGGGGGGGGGGGGTGCACCCGAAACGGAGCCGGGAGCTCTGGGGCGGGGGGGGGGGTCGTTCGCCTGTCAGCCCCGGAGCGCCGAGGCCGAGCTCCGTGGGGGTGTTTTAACGGCGGCGGGGGGCCGGGCCCACGCGTGGCCGCCCCCTCCCTGCGCTCTGCGGGCAGGCGGGTTTGCTGGCCGGCGCTCCGCAGGGCTCCGGCAGAGCCACCTGCTCGGATGCCACGTCCCCTCGCAGTGGCAGGCGCTTCGTCACCCTCCCGGCGCTCACCAGCGACACCCGACCCACGCGGAGCGGGGCCGCGTTAGTCACACACGCCCAAGGGCCGAGGGCCGCAGGTCCCGCAGCCCGGTGCTGCTCGGGGCGCGGGTCCCACCCCCGCTCCCCCCGGGGCTCCGGCCGCGTCAGCAGCGTCCCTGGCACAGCCCAACGCCAGCACCCCTCAGCCCCGGGTTCCTATGCCAACAAAAACCTGATGAAAACACACCGTTCACCTACTATAAAATAAAATTGAGACTATTTCCTAAGACCCGGGTGCCCCTGCTCTCTCAGCTCCACACAGGAACAGTTTATGTACTCCTTCCCACCCAGGGCTCCCACACTGGAAGGTCCAAGCAGAATCAGGGCTCTGGCTGCCAGCCCTGTGACAGCCTCCAGGCTTTAGCCAGAGCTTTATCTAACTGTACCAGGCTATTAAGGTCACCCTATAAAAGTTACACGTTACTCCACGTATTTCAAACACTAGTTTTAAATTATTCAGTAACCTACCTCATTTCATCCTTTAAGGTCCTCACACCCCCGGGTTCTTTCCCACTCTGGTTTCTGCTACCTGCTCACACACCCCTATTTGAACCTGCTGCTTCATTTCCTGCCTTGCTCTGCTCACCTGGGTGTCTCAGCTGTTGCTTGGCTCCAATTAAAGTGTTTCCTGATAAATACGACCCTGCTCTGCCCCTCTGGGTGCTACAAGACTGAGGAGAGGGTTAAGGAGAGGCTGATTTGCGGTTCTCTGGGTTAGCAGTATGGCTAAGATGGAGGCAGATATATATCTACTTCTCCCTGGCATCCTAAATTCGCAGGTCAGGCTGTGCCACGGCTCATCATCGTTAATTGTAGCCGTCCCCGAACCCCTCTTTGAGCTGCTCTGTGTCCAGCACCGAGCTGCCCAGGTAAGAACATCCCCTTGCTGGCAGCGTCTGCTCCCGTGCTCCTTCCCAGTAGGATCTATGGGTGCTTGTGCCTCAGGGGGGGCTACAGCCGCCCCCAGCCCCTCACTGCTCCCCCGGCCCCGCTGCAGCCCCCCGGCCGGGCTGTGTCCGGGGGGAGGTGGGGGGGCTGCAGGGACCCGAGCCGGCGCTGGATGGCGACACAGGCTGCGCTACGGCCCCGGCCCCCCTGGCCCGATTGCCCCCCCGGATGGCGCCGGGCAGAAAAAGCTGCTGGGGGGTGTGTGTGTGGCTGCGACCGGCTGCACTGACACTACCGCCCCCCCCTCAGCCGCCCCCCTGCCCTGCCGGGGGGGGGGGGGCGGCGCACGCCTGGGGCTCCCAGCAGCCTCGCACAAGGATTTCGGCATTCCCCGGCAGCTCCCCGTAAGCTGCTTTGGGGTTTCCCCCAGTGGGGGGGGGGGGGGTCGAGGAGCCCCGTGCTTCACCTGGGTTTACAGCCCTGGCACATGCCCAGCCTCAAATTTCTGGTGCTGGTGTCGTGGTTTGGCTGGCTCCCCGTCTTCTTCCTCCCTGGCAGCGTGGAGCCCCTTGGGGCTGGGGGCTCAGCTGGGAGCCCGGGGGTGCCCCAGCGTGGCGGGGAGCTGTGGTGGGCAGGGGCTGACTGGGAGTAGCTGTGCTAGCCCAGAGGCCAGCAGTCCTCTGGTCCTCTCTGCTCAGGATGCCTTCCCCCTTCCAGCATCTCTGCTCTGCTGCTGACCACACAGGGGGGGTCTTGAATGTTATGAGTGCAAAATCCTTCATGCTATTAAAGCTGAAAATAACCGGATGCTCCAGGGAATGTTTCTCTCCTCTGGAGGGCTGCCCATCGGCCCTGTACTGCTGAGTCACCAGGATGCTTTACTTGGAAAGAAGGAAATGACAGTTTGCAAAATGACTTCTGTGGAGGGCTGATGTTTTGCATTCGTTGTTTCCATTATGCGAAGAACTGCACAGAAAGAATGGTCTGACATAAAATCACGTTGCAAGAATGCTTCCTGAAACAATGCAGTGCTAATAACTGTTTTCCAAGAAAGAGGGCTACATTTCCTCCTATTCATCCTGCCTGACAGTTCAATGGGAAGTTTCCTCCTTGCCTGAGGCTGGTGTTCCCCTCCAGCGGCTGCCTGGCAGGAGCCCTGTGCCTGGGGACACAGGCAGTTACAGCGTGAGTCAGGCTCAGAGCGTGTGGTGGCAAATGCCAGTAAATAGTCGCTCTGGACGTCAGCAGCTCTGCCCTTTGCTCTCCCCCCCCCCTCTGGGGTTCCTGCCTGGGATGCTGGTGCTTTCCCTGCCTCCTTGTCTTGTGCAAAGTGTTGTCCCCCCTGCCCGAACACAGGGCCAGGCGCTGGCGCTCCGTGGGCACGGCTCCAGGAGAGCCTTCAATGCTTTGTCGGACAGGCCTGCTGCCCCGTGTGATTCCTGCCAAAGCCGCTGGCTTTCTGCTTCCAAACTCAGCGCTGGAGACTCCTTCTCCCTCAGGCTACGCTGAGCAACACAGCTGAGCAGCAGCACCCCTCGAGTGGGTGTGAAGCCGGGGAGACTTTCTCCTGCAGCCACCAGAGCTGTTGGGATTGTTCGGGCTGATCTAAACCCAAGGTTTCGGTGTAGCTCAGCATCATTTGCGGGGCTCTGCTGGACCTGGACACTGGTGTTTCCTTCCCCTTTTCAGCTGGGTACCTCTCTGCCCCACAGCTCCAGGGAGAGGATAAACTCCCGGGTCCTCCTCTCCCTCCTTAATTACTGAGGGTTTGCCTATGCAGAATTGAGATGTAATGTTATGACATCATCTGTTTCTGGACAAAGCTATATGAAAATGGTAATGAAAATTATTCCTTTACATTTCTAGGGAAGGACTGGAGGAACAGTTTTCCAAAGCAATATTTAAATAAAAAGCTTATTGCAAAGGAGTGGAGGTTTTAATTTGTTTCAAAAAGACATTTCTCTTTGAAAAGACCATCTGGTTCTGCCCGTGTCTGTGCAGGGCGAGAGGAGCTGAGCTCACTGGGGCAGTGGCTGCGTGCGCATGAGGAAGCAGCTGTGCACGGGGAGCACCGGCACCAGGACCGATAATCTCTCACCAGCCTGCTGCTGTGATAAACACTGATTTAAAAACTAGTAACACAGGAATTAGGCTTAAATTATGCTATTTTGCTTAATTTCTTGTGCAACTGCTTAGCATTAAAAAAGCCTTTCGAAGTTTCATCATTCATCTGTGTTGCTGAGCCCCAAAGGAAGGTAGGATGAAGCCAGAGATATTTCTTTGTGACAGAATGACATGTTGGTGGCATTTAAGCCAGAACAGAAGTAAATTAAACATCTAGATCATAAAAGTACCAGAGTATGTTTTAAAATAGGCTCTTTGCAGCAGTGCATTAGTTGACTGCACAGCTTTACTGTGTAATGAGCAATATATTAATTTATAATTAGTATAATACAGTGAAGCTCAGCAAATAGCTCTGTGCACTCTGGATAATTCATCAGCAGAAGAAGCAGCTCTTAATGGTTTCCAAGGTTTGCCTGTCCCCTGTAATTGGGAAGTTCAGAATTTATTGTTATTTCTTTCAAGGGATAATTTGATTGCAACTACACATCTTTATTCCATGCCTGTTCCTGCTGGAGCACAGAGAAGCCTTTGGAGCATTGCAGCTCCTGGAGCGTATGAGCCCACTCTGCGGGTTGGTGTAGTCGGTGTTTTGCAGGCCAGCTGACCTGGTGTTGGTGCAATTTCCTGCAGGATTTACCCTCCTCTCCCCACTGCAGAGCAGCAGGTCAGCAGGTTAATGTCCCTGGGTCACTTGGCTTTTCCTCTTCTGCTGCTACCGAAACTGCCTCGCCCCTTCCCCATCGCCCGAGGGATCTTCATGCTGAACTCTGCTCCCAAGGGTCCTGTTCTCATAAGCATCACCTGTCAGTAGAAGCCTAGAAGAACAATAATAAATGTGTGATAACAAGGCTAACTGGAATTTATGGAGCCTCTAGGGATTTTATTTTTCAGATTGGAAGCTGAGAGCCACATCCCAGAGGATGCAGGGACCCTGAGTGGGACTCGTGGGTGCCCAGGCTCCCTGGGATCCTCCCTCCTGTTCCGCTGTATTGTGCGGTTGGGAATCCGCACCCAAATTCCCTCTTGTCAGCCAAGCCTTCTGAAAGGGGAACAAAATCCTCAGAGCTGGGTACTCAGTGCTGAGACAGCCCCGAGGCACAGGTGCCCCCTCAGAGGAAGGGGATAAGTAAGCTTGAATCTTAACTCAGTGACCCACTGACAATGGGGGTGACAAATCTTCCCCAGGAATAAAATGTCAGGAGTTCTGCCTATTCCAGTTTTAATAAAATAATTTGCATGCCTCTGCCTATTAGCAGCTTCGGGTAAGTTGATTGCACTGAAGATTTAAAGTCTACTGATGAGCCCATCTGCCTCGGTGTAACCATCTAACCCAAGTTCTTGTTGTAAATCCTGAGTTTTCTTCCTGAAAAAAAGTCGGTTGGTCATCTGGAGAGTACAGAAGTGTTTCCGGGATCACCAGCCATCCAGTCTCAGGGGAAATGATTTCTTACATGGTAGCAGGGGTGTTCATCACTTAAATTTTTCTAGTGCAGTTCCTTTCCTTGCCAAACTTGTCTTGTTACGGATACTAAGAGCTCTTGCCCACAACTCAGTAAAATAACAGGCTCCTTGAAGAGTCACTTAGGGAGAGCGATGCTGGAGGCGGCTGCTGGGCAGGCAAACAAGAACTCAGGGGGAGGAGGAATTACCGTGCTCACTTCCAGCAGAATGTAAATGAAATCAGTTTTACTGAAGTCTTAATTCTTCCCCTGCATTGAAATGCTGTGATCTGGAAAGCAGCAAGTTTGTGTTTCTGTACCATTACTTCAATAAAGAGCTTGATTTTTGTAGGCTTTCTTATTGAATAATCTGGCCTAATTTAATTGGAATTTGGCTGGTGTGAAAGGTAGTTTTGATTGCATTTGCTCTTGATCATTTCCATTAAAACTTTGTGATCTGAAAAGTAACATGTTTATATTTACTTATCGTAGCAATAGAGACCTGAATTGGCAGACTCTCTATCAAATCACCTGATGAATATAAACAGCAGATTTAATTTAGTTTCATATTGATTTTTGCCATTATTATTAAACCCCTCTGATCTGAAGGACGAGATGCTTGTATTTCCTTAATATCTTATTACTGGGGTTTGGGTTAATCTAGTAGAGCTTTTACCTTTTCTTTTGAGCAACCAAGACTAATTAATTGGAGTTTAACATATGGCAATTTCGACTCTATAAAGGGCGGGGGGAAAAGAGCTCAGTTCCCTTAGATGAAATAGCAAAGAAACCTGTTCTTATCATGGGCCTCTTAAATCTGGGGAACTTTCCCCTGGCTCCCTGTGTGCATTTTGGGGTGACTCTTCCCCCAGCAAAGAGGCCAAGGTCTTGTGTCCCCCAGGAGCTGGTGGGTGGCGTTGGGGCATCTCCCAGCCCAGGCACGGGGTGGCTGTGCCAGGAGGGACGCTGCTGCCTCTGCCCATGCTGGCTGTGCCCTGGGCTTACCCACACTAGCTGGTTTTGCTGGTCTGAACTGGAGAGGTCATAAATCAAACCAAGATTGGAGAAGGACAAGACGGGACTTCTGCTGTGGATACATGAAGGGGAGAGAAACCTTCCCCCGGGGGGCACCTGTCTTTGCCCTGTGTCCCTGCCTAGGGAAAAAATGGGAATGTGTGCTATGAGGTGCTGTGGAGGCACTGGGAGCCTGGGGATTGCTCTCGGGGGCTGCAGAAACCTGCTGGGATCTGAGGAAGGAAAACGGGTCGGAAGATGAGGCTGTGAGAGGCACAGAGTGCTGGAGGAGCAGGTGCTGGGGAGCAGGACAGGCCCAGACCAAAGCCCCGGGCGAGGGTGCTGGGGGCAGCGAGGGGCCCGGGATGTCCCTGGGTGCGCAGGGAGCGAGCTGCTGCTCTGGCCACGCTCAGGGGCTTGTACAAAGCGGGGGGCAGAGGAAGGCCCTGATGTGGCACTTTGCTGGGGCCTTCAGCAGAGCCCTGGGCGAGGGCTGGTGCCCAGGAGGGGTGTGGGGGGTCACAAAGGCTTTGGTGATCTCACGTGGGGGGGTCGGGGAATGGCTGGGAGATTTGCAAACTGCCCGCATGTGGCCTGTCTGAGCAGCTGTCATTGATCTGTAACTCAGATTGATCTTGGAAATCATTCAGTGCTTCCAGCTGAGCTGGGGCTTGAAAGGTCTGGGAGTAAACTCTGAGCTGTCTTTAAAAAACAAAGGCTTTCACTGATATGCAAATAGTTTTGAGCAAAGCAAAGAAAATGAGTTATATGTAATTCCAGTCTCTCCTTTAAGCTGTCCTGAGGTTGCGGAACTAACTCCTGGCAGCAACTGTGAAAATTCAACCCTTGCTTTTACAGTTTTTTGGCATTTTGCAGCCTGCTGCTGCCAGCTGTCCCAGCAGCACGTGCAGAGCCGTGGCCGGGGGGCCCAGGAGGGGTTTGGGGGGCCGGTCTGGGGGTGCTGTGGGGAACCGCCTGCCCCAGGCTGGTGCCGGGGGCCCGGCTCTGGCTCAGGGGTCCCCGTGGCCCAGGTCGGTACCGGTGCTTCAGCAGTTCTTGATACTGGGAAGGACGTGAGTTTGGGTTGACAGAGGAGCCGGGCTCCTGCTCTGAGGAGTGTGCCACAGGAGTGGGGACGGTAGCCTGTCTGTCTGTCTGTCCATCTGTCCAGTTATCCCCACACAGTACAGTACCACTCGTTGCTCAGTGGGGCCCATCACACCCTTTTTTTTTTTTTTTTTTTTTTTTTCTGGGGGGTGGGAAATTGTTTTTCAGGTAAATGAGCTCTGACCAGTCCTCCCTACTGGCTCCATTAATGAGCACCGGGGCTAATTGGGGCGGGGCGGCGTCCTTCCCGGAGGGATGGGCGGTGCGGTGCGGAGCCGGCTGCCAGCCCGGGCTCGCCGGTGCGGTTCCCGGTGCCGGTTCGGCTCCGGGGGCGGTTCCCGGTGCCGGTCCGGCTCCAGGGGCGGGTCGCGGTCCCGGTGCGGTTCCCGGTGTCGGGTCGTGATTCCGGTGCGGAGTCGTGGTCGCGGTGCGGCTCCCGGTGCCGGTGCGGTTCCCGGTGCCGGGGCGGCGGGCGGCAGGCGGCGCTGCGCCCCTTCGCGGGCACCGGGGCCGCTCGGCTCCGCGCCCGCCGCCCCCGCCCAGCCCCGCACCGAGCCCCGCACCGCCAGCGGCCCCGGCCCCGGCCCCGGCGGCCCGCGGAGGCGGCGCGGTCCCGGCGGGATGGGCAGCGGCGGGGCCGGCCCGCACGGACGGCCCCGGCAGGTACGTGCGGCTCGGGCGGGAAGTTGCGGGCTGCGACGGGACCCCCGGGGCGGAGCGCGGCGGCGGCGGGACCCCGCGCCCCCGCCCGGGGCCGGTGCCCGGGGCGCTGCGGGCCGAGCCCCGGCGGGGGCAGGACCGTTACCGGCCCGGGGGGGAGCCGCCGGGCTCGGAGTCCCCGCGGGCAGCGCCGGTCCGGGGGCTCCGCTGCGGAGCCCGGAGCCTTTCGGGGGGGGCTCAGGCGGGTCTTCGCGGGAAGTTTCTCCGTGCCGGCTCCCGCCGCGGGCTCGGTTACGGGTGACTCGGAAAGAAGCGGATCGCCTCCGGCCCCTGCCCGCCCTGCGACCGGGGGACAGTGCCCGCGGCGGGGGGGTCGCGCCCCCAGCGGGGCCTGGGGCTGGCTGCGAGGCTGAGCTCCGTCCAGGGGTGCGATTTACCCCCCGGTGAAACGATTCTGCCAGCCACACGAAGCCGCTTGCGGTTTTGGGGAGGCGAAGCAGTGCTGGAGAGACCCGAGGTTGCAGGAGCCAGAAATGCTTCTTCACCCTGGACGGGGAAAATCAAGACCAGCCGTTGCCCGCCGTCGGTCCCTGCAAGCTGTCCCCCCCGCAGCCAAAGCTTCAGGCGGGACGGGATGGGATGCAGGCTTCCATCTTCCTCTTCTTCGTTCCTCTCTGCTGTCACTCCTGCAGCTGGGGTGGGCTCGCTTCTGATCGATGCCAGGCTGGAGTGGGGCAGGGGCCCAGGTGTCCGGGTGGCTCGAGGGGCACGGGACGGGGAGCAGCTTGCACAGACGGGTGCCCCCCTCAGCTGCGAGGGCGGGCTCTGTGGTCCAGAGGAGAGCATGAGTTTATACCAGTCCCATTCTGGAGCCAGGCAGGAGTGGATCCATGCGGTGGTGTTGGGCAGGGAGCAGGAGTCCCCTCCTCCTGCCCGTTAGCCACCCCTTTCGATGTGGTGGGAGGCTTGGGGGGCTGCTCAGTGTGCAGGTGCCCTTGGCCTGGAGAGCTCGTCTGTGCTGGGGCACCCACACCCTGGCAAAGAGCCTGCCCAGGTGAAGTGTTGTATCTCCTGGGGAAACAACTGAAGCTGTCAAGTCCTCTGCTTTCTTCCACTGACAAGACTGACTGAGCTGCTGCTGACCTTGGGTTTCAACACCCCTGACGAGCAGCCACGCTCTGGCAGAAAGAGGTTCCTGATGCTGGAGGAGTCTGAGGTTCAAGCTGTCAGCAGAGCTGACCTTCAAAATGCCAGTGGCAGTGGAGCGGTGGGATTCATCGAGTGAGGGAGCAGGAACAGGCCCGTGCTTGGGTGGAATTAGAGTTAAAAACTCTCCCGCTCACCTTGGCTGGGAAGGAAATGCTGCAGACGCTGGAGGAATGACCAAAGAGCTGGAAATAAATCAGCGTAGAGGAGAGGACAAGAGAGCACGCGTGGGGGAAGGAGTCCTCTGCATTTCTGTGTGCTCCCTTGCCACCTCTTTGCCTGGCTGGAGGGCACGTGCCTCATGCTGCCCTCCTCACTAGCACATCTGTGGGGCTGGACTGCTGTAGGTGCACCCAGAGTAAGAGCTGAAATGAAGGGTGCAAAAGGACTCTGCTCGAGCTGGAGCTCTGGGGCTTGGGCCAGGCTCCCCTGCGGTGGGGTTTCCCTCTGGGGAGGAGCAGCCCAGCGCTCGGGGCAGTGCGGAGCGTGGGAGGGTGCAGGAGTTACTGCGCAAAGCTCCGGTGGGCATGCCAGCCTCCTGGGCACTGCCCCCGGATGTGCAGCCGCCGGAGCTCCCACTTGGCAGCTTTGCCTGCCGCTGAGCATCCCCAGTGCCGCGGAGGGAGCCGGGGTTTAGCCAGCCTGCTGGCCTGCACTGGGGAACCCGGAGCTGTGGGTGTGGAGGTTGCTGCTGCTGTCGGTCTGTGCCCGGAGGAGGATGGCAGCATCTCGCTGGGCAGCCCCCCCAGAGACCCCCAGCCTCGCAGCTTGTTCCTGGGACGGGTGGCTCAGGGGCCCTGGGCCCAAACCTCACAGCCTGGATGTGCCCAGCATTTCCTCGCCTGCCTGCGGTGGAGCATCCAGTGCTCAGCTGATTTTCCAGCCTGCAGAAGGGAGATGCCCTCTGCCGAGCCCGCCCTGCTGCTTTTGCCCTCTCTTTGGGTGCCGGAGGCAGAGCCGCAGCGGAGCCGTCCTCGGGGACCATGGAGCTGTCTCCTTGCTTGTCGGGGTCTTTCAGGGAGGCGACAGCTTCACAGGAGAACCTGCAGCCTCCCCGCGCTGCTACCATCGCCTGCTGTGCAGCCCATGGGGCCGTGCTTTGGGGCGAGGGAAGGACACCTTCCCTCGGGGCAGTGCGAGCGGGCCGGGTGCTCTGGGGGTCCTCTTGTACGAGGGGGGGGCGGCTGGGCCACTGCTGCCGTGAGGTTTGCCAGGGAGCCGTGCGGCACGGCAGGGATGCGCAGGGTGGTCACGGGGCAGCCCGTCCCTCGCTCCCATGTGGTGGGGCACTTGCTAAGATGGTTTGACTTGTTGCTTCAAGGAACTGTTCAAATAAAATCGCCCCCTCCAACGGGCAGCGTAACATCTGGCACATCACGGGAAGGTTTCTCTGCCTGCTGGGCTCTGGCCAGGTTTGCTCCCTGCTCCACAGCTGGGGACGGGGCTGCCCGGCACTGCGCACCCCCGGGTTGTGCTCTGTTGGGCCAAAGCCTGCGCCTCGCCTTGCACCAAATGAAGGTGCAAACCAAGTCCCGAGAAGTGCTGGAACAGCAGGAGTATGAAAACAGCGTTCAGAAAACTGGCAGAGCTGTGGGGCCAGATGTGCCCGAGGGTTGAGTGTTGGAGGTGCAGCAGGGAGGGCTTGTGTCCCAGCACAGAAATCCAGCCAATGTCCCAGCCTCCCCACCTCTCTCTGTTCCTTTTTTGGGTGGAATTGTGCTAACTATAATTATCCAGCTCACGTGGAGCATTGCAATCTGCTCCAAACCAGCAGGACTTGGAGCGTAATTTGGTGTGACAGAGAGTCCCTCATTAGCTCCGTGGGGCGCTGGGCTGCGGGTGGAGCCGTCCTGGCTGGGGGTCCCGGTTCTACCCGCGGCTTTCACGAAGGGGGAGGGAACGGTCTGTAGCTGCTGCGGGCAGCAGAGTGGCGGGGGGGCTCCCAGGTGCCGTGGGTGGGGGGAACCTCGCTGAGGCTCCGGGGTGGGTGACGGCCTGTGCCCCCGGGGAGGGTCCGTGCAGAGGAACAGTCATCTCTCGCCACACTGGCTACGGCTGAGATTTATCTTCAGAGAGACTGGGGCACTTTGCAGTTACCTCAGGTCCCAGCTCAGACCTGAAAGGTAGAAAACAGCTAACAAAAAACGTTAATGAAAAATTCCACAGAATTCCAGACAGAGCATAACAGAGAATACTGATATTTTCAATCAAAATTAAGTGCCTTGACATGCCAGAACGCTGCTTTTCATTTCAAAATGACATTCTAGGCTGAAAAATTTCAAGTCAGACCAAACATTTGTAGTTGGAGTCTGACGACGATGGAGGTTGATAACTGTCAAAATAGCAATTTCTGTAAAGCTCTGTTTTCCAATGCGAGTTTGTGCATGCGTGGGAGCCCTGAGTGCCTGTGCTGGCGTGGCTGTGGGGGGGCGCATCGTGCTGGTGGCTGCTGCTGGGGGTGGCACCTCTCGGCCTCGTGCTCCCCCAAACCCCACGAGCCCTCCCTGGCCACCGGCTCGGCTCCCACCGCTTGGCATGGTGGCTTCCCCTTTGAGTGCGGGCTGCATTATTGATAACGCTGTGATTTATTTATGCTTCCTTGGCTACAACAAACAGCTCAGCCTTTCTGAGCTAAATATAGTTTGCACTGGGAGTGCGTCCCTGTCCTGTGTGGATGGTGGTGGCCAGCGCTGTGCTGGCTTTTTGGTCCAGCCAAGAGATTCGGGGACATCTTGGGGAGACCTGGTGTGGGCTGCAGGGCTGCACGGGCAGGAGCTGGGGTTGGGCTTCAGTGTGTGCTGGGGGGCTTGGTGCCCGTGCTGGGAGCTCGGCCAGGCTCCAGTGCGTGCTGGGGGGCTTGGTGCCCATGCTGGGAGCTTGGCCGGGCTCCCTGTGTGGAGGGGCATTTGGGAGACCGGGGGCTTTGGGTGCAGGGGGACCTCCCACAGGGGCCTGGCTGCTCTGCTGGCACCAGCACGGGAGGTTTGCTGGTGGCGAGGGCTCGCTGCCACACCAGGTACAGAGCCTGGTGACAGCGTTGTGTCTGCTGGCCTCACATCTGGGCTGCCAGATGTGCCCCTTCATAGGGCAGGACAGATGTGTGCTGTGGCACACGTCCCAGCCCAGCTGGGGCAGAGCACCTCCCTGTCTTCCCGGGGACTGGGGGGGGGGGGGCGTGGGCACACAGGTGTGGGGGGGCATCGCACCCCACTCACTGCGGCACCGAGTGCTGGTGCACGAGCTGCCCCTGGATCGTGTCAAGGGCTGAGCAGCCCCGAGAGCTCTCTTTTTCATTGAGGAAATAGTACGTGTTTTCAGCTGCATCAATATTTGCATGACGGGCTGTGACATCCCTGAGGGGACCCCGACAGCGCAGGCTGCTGTGTGAAATCCCCCCCCTCTGCAAGGGAGCCTCTTGCAGAGCAGATTCCGCCGACAGCCCCGCCGGAGCGCCGGCGACCGCCTAAATACGGCGTCACCCGAGGGAGCCGGCGCGGTCGCGTCGCATCCGCTCGTGCCCGCTCCGAGGAGCGCTGGGCCTCTTGCCCGCCCGGCCACCGCAGGTTCGTTCTGGCAGTGCCGTGTTTTGGGGGGCTCGGGGCTGGCTCGGCCCCGGGCAGTGGTGCTGGTCTGCACAGCGCCTGCGGCCCCGCTGCGCGGGCGTAGCCTGGGTGAGGGCTGTGCTGGGGCAGGGTCGGTCCCTCATTGCCCGGCGGGCAGGGATGGAGCCAGGGAGGTGCGCGGGACGCCGGCGTGCCTGTGCCCTCCCCGACCACGCTTCCATCTGCCCCTGGCCAAGCTGACTATCCCACGGCATTAATTAGGAGTGTTTTCTTACCTCTGGATTCTTTTCTAGCATAAAATAGGTGTTTTTGTCAAGATACCTTTCTTTTTTTCCTGGGCAAATGTCAACGTTTTTGGTGACATTTTCTGATTTTTTTTTTTTTTTTTTCCAGTTGGGAGAATCAAAATGGAAAATACCATTTTAAATCAGCATTTTGGAATGAAACATTTTTCATTTCGAAATGTCAGTTTAAAACAAAACAATTCACTTTGAAATGCTTCTAAACAAGAAATGGCCTTTTACCACTTCAAATCACTTTGTTTTGATTAAAAGCATCACAGTTTTCTGTTCCGGTACTTCATTATATGAGTCTGCTTCACTGTCTCAGCCTGGTCCAGAGCAGATAGAAATTTAGAAGATGGTTGCAAATGAAAGATTCCTTCTCCCGGCAGCCCAGGTTTGTCCGGTGCCCGGCTGAAACCCTGCGGTGGGTGCGGGCAGCGGGGGCGGGTGCAGGGAAGCTCACGGGGCAGGAGCTGCCCCTGGCAGCGCTCCCGAGCCTCGGCCTCACCGCCGGTCATCTTCGCGGCCTCTCGTTAGTAAACAATGACCCGGCACTGAAGTTTTATGGGGGATGCTGTCATTTGCCCTGGACGTGGTTAGATCTCGGCCGGGCGGAGACGTTGCTGTCAGAGCTGTTCTCGCTCGTGCTGCTGCCTGAAGAGCCCCGGCGCCTTTCCACCTGCAGGGCCGCAGCTGATAAATAGTGCAGAGAACACATTTAAAGCAGTTGACAGTGGAATACCAACTCTTTGGGGATTTAAATTTTTCCTTAAGGGCTCCAGATGATGTAAAACCCGGCTCCCTCCCACCGCGTCCTGCGTGGTGTGGGAGCGAGTGCCAGCGCGGTGCCCCAGTGCGCACGGGGAGGCCAGGAGCGGTTACTGGTGTGCTCAGGGCAGCGGGCGCAGGTCTCGGGGCGGGTTTATGACCTGGCGGCTGTACTGAGAGGAGAAGCAACCCCAGCCAGCAGCATCGCACCGGGACAGCGCGGTGCGGGGCTGCGGGTCCTGGCACTGCTGCGGGCTGTGCCTGCCCACCTGGGCATCGGCTGCCCCGTTCCCCCGCTCCCTGCACAGAGCTGGAGGGCTGTGCGGTCGGTCGGTCTGTCTGTCTGTCAGTGAGTGCCCAGCCCATGAGAGACAAACCTTGGGTGGCACTGCAAGGGACCTCGGTGGCACAAGGGACCTCGGTGGCACAAGGGCGATGACAGCGTGTAACCGCACACACGGAAAAGACAACACTTGGAATGACTCACTGCTGATTTTCTCCAGCTCTTCCCACACACCCTGCGTCTGGGTTTAGTATTTGTGGTCTGCGTTAATAACCAGGCCTGCCGCTGCGCTCGCTCAGCGCTGGGAGTCGGGAGCGGCTCCTCTGGAGCAGACGGAGTCCCGCTGGAGTTCCGAGGGGGTGGGCAGGGTTCCGGGCTGAGTTCCCAGAGAGGTTCTGGTGTGTGTGATGGGCACGTGTGTGCTCGTGTGCCTGAGAGCGTGGGTGCTGATGTGGGGCCAGCCGAGCCCCCTGGGGGGTGTCCCCAGCCGAGCCCCCCGGGGGGGTCCCCAGCCGAGCCCCCCAGGGGTGTCCCCAGCCGAGCACCCGGGGGGGGTCCCCAGCCGAGCCCCCCGGGGGGGTCCCCAGCCGAGCCTCGGGGCACGCAGTGGTTCGCGCTCCCCGGGTGCTCGCAGCAGGTATCGCCACCCACGCTTCTCTTTCTCCTTTCAGATGCACTGATGTCTGCCCCTTGCACAGACCCGGCCCACCCGAGGTTGGCAGATGCGTGGGTGCTAGTGTGAACCCCCAGTAAAAGGTAACTATCTCTCGTCTGTCCTGCTGCCGGCAGGATTTCCTCCTGTCCCGCTGAAGAAGCCCAATCCTGTCCGAGGGCGGTGGGCGAGCCCCGGGTGTGTGCCGTGTCACCCAGGGCCGTGTCCCCGCAGCCAGGACACCCCAGTCCCTGTGGCCGTGCACCTTCAGGGGCTGCACCGCTGCCTGCAGCAGCATCGGTGAGGGGGGGGGTTCACCTCCCAACCCTCCTCAGCCCCTCTTCCTCGGCATGTCTCTTCTTGTTTTTGGTAGAATGAGTGAGAGAGACATACAAAGCCTGAGCAAATGGGTTTTCGTGCTCACTCTCTGCCTTACCACACTGTGGGGAAGACTGACGCTGGCCTCCACCCATCACAGAAGCCATTCAGGTAGGGGAAGCGACGTCCTCGCCACGTGCATCACACTCCTGTGCAATCATCCTGTCACGCTGCTGGTACCTTGGGGTCTCCGTGGGATGCCCAGGGAGGGGTTTTCGTGGGGCTGAGATGCTGGGTGGGGGTCCGTCCCTCATTCCTGGGCGGGAGGACGAGTGCAGGTGGTCTCAGGTCGTGGCACCCACCGGCTGCGGGAGCGGGCGGGTGTCTCTGGGGACCAGGGGCTGACAGCCCAGGAGACCTTGGCGTCCAGCCCCATCGCCGGGGTTTGGACAGTGAGGATGAACGTGCCGAAGGCGCGGGGCAGAATCCCACAAACAGACACCGGGAGGCACCGACATTTCCTCCCCGGTGCTGCTGTGACAGCTGCGGGATTTGCACTTCGAGTGTCTGTGTGTGCAGGAAACTCCCTGGGCTGCCCTCGGGGACAGGCAGGAACCTGGAGCCGTACAGCAGTAAAGCTGCTCCTTGGAGTTATAACTTGTAAATACTTAATATGGGGCATTTAAAAACTGTTGCTTGGTGAGCCTAGCTGGTCTGTGGAGCTGAAAAGCGAATTTCTTCATGTCTGTAGGCAAATCTGAGACACATCCATATTCAGGTTATTACCAAGGTAATTCTTTATCTGTGAGCAGTGAGAACTAACCGTAAGTTGCAATGAGTGGGACAAACCACGCTTGTTATGCGATGGACACTCTCCACTTCAGGCTTTCATTAGAAATACAAATTTTCAGTCCTCTGGTCATAAAGATCCTCTTGAAACATGGAACAAGCATAAACTGATGTAGAACTGAAGGTTTTGCTGGAAAGCGTAGCCTTGGCTCTGGGGCGTTAATTTGTTATTCCCAGTGGTGGCTTCGAGATCCCCCTCTGGGGGGGTATGTTGGAATGCTGCTTTGTGCGATCACTGTGATTTTGGGGGGGGGTTACATGAACCCACTGTGGAAGCTCATGTCTTAGAAGAGAAGCAGCTGAGGGGACTCGGTGGTCCAGGGCTGGGGGTTCCTCTCCTCAGCGCGTGGTGGGTGGGTGGGTGGAAGCTGACATTACCGGCGTGCTGGCGGGGTTGTGCAGCACTGCTTGGAGTACGGAGCAATCCTGGGGCACGTGCTGCCTGCCTCTTGTGCCTGTGTTTGGAAAAGAAGGTGTTTAAGGGTTAATTTGAAATTGCTCATGCTCTTCCCTGACCCCACACTGAACCCTGTCCTATTTCTGTCATTTTTGCCTGACAGTTAAAGCAGGTCTAATCCTATAATCCCCATCATCGTCACTTAAAACCAAAATGTGTCTTCCAGAGTGACTATCTCAAACAGCTAGCCAGCAGCTCCCTGCCTTACCCTCTTTCTAACCTCTGCCAGGTGCACGAGAAGATAAAACTCCTCAGTTGTTTCTGGAGTGACATTTTGGCAGCGGCTCAGGTCTCCCTGGGATGTGGGCTCGGGCGCTCGCCCACCCTGCTTACGCGGGAGCGGTGTCCAGGGGAGCTGCTGCTTCGGGGAAGAGTCAGAGCTGGCACTAATAAAGCAGCGACTCACCTGGGTTTAAAGTGCAAATGCCCAAGTGTACTCGCGGGGTGTGAATTATGCATAAATCTCACTCCATACGTGAGGAGACAGGCTCACGTATTCACGTGCTCTCAGGCAGAGAGCTGGGGACTTTTTTGCCCACACAGCCTTATCCACAGCAGACCAAACCTCGGTATGTTTTATTCAAGCAAATTCTAATCCACAGCAGAGAGGGCATACAAGGAGCAAATTCTTGAAAGTCTGACCCCGCTCTGTGTCTGTATTAACACGGTTTCTCTCTGCACGTCCTGCTTTCCTGGCACTGTAAGTGTTTTGCGTGGCTGCGCTGGCAGCTGCCTCCTCTCCTGGGCTGGATTTCCATGGGCTCAAGCCAGGAATTCTTAGTCTGCTTGCTGAGTTCATGGGCTTTACTTTCCTGTTGTCTGTCCTGTGCTTTTACTTCATTTGGGAGAGTTTTTGTTAAAGGTTGTGTTTGAAATGCGCTTTCCCAAGGCTGCGTTCTGGTTGCAATGCCAGTTTTGTCCCAGGAAGCCCGCAGTGACATTTCTGCATGGGGAGCTGAACTGGAGGTGGGGATGGGGATGCTGTGCAGCTGGTGCCTGCCCGCGGCCCCCAGAGCCAGGGATGCTGATGGATTGGGTGCATAAAAGCACAGACACGTCCAGAGTTTCCAGCCATTTGCGGTTATTCATAGATAAAACCAGGTGTGGCACCAAAAATGAGCAATAGCAGAGGAAGATCTTTAATTGTGACAATGTGGCCACAAGGTTTCAGAGCCCCCAAACTTAGGAATTTCTTGGAGAGAGCCTGCATGCAGACCCTCTGTTAGCCGTCCAGGGAAACACCGCACAGTAAACATCTGGTTGCAGAAATGAGGTGTAATCACTTGTGCTCACCCAGCCCCTGGGGAATGCTGATGTGTCCAGGCAGAGCGGTGCTTCCTGGGGTATGTGGTTGCATTTAAATAGCCACATGAATCAAGTGTGGAGATTAAGTCATTTGGAAATGGAATAGGAGACTCCTTGGTGAAGAATGATTGGCCAGCAATTTAATCCGCCGTATAACATGGAGCTCTGCGTGATGAACAAGGCTTGCTTGTCTGGCCACGGCTCCCGCAAAGGTGGCCCCAGCATCTTCAGATAAACCCCTCTAATGCTGATAATCAAAGTGCCATCTTTGCCTTCATTCCCATTCATCGCTCAACCTGGAGCAGCAGTAAAGGCATTTAGTCAGCTGGGATTTGCTTTCGGGAAATGAGGTTCTCTGAGTGAGTGGAGAGCAGAGCACTGATTTCTGATTATCTTGTAAGAGAGATTTACTGGTCAGTGCGTTGCTGCTCGGAGTGAAGGCAGCAGCAAATGATGTTCATTTGTGAGATGCTTCTGCAAGGTTCCCTCTCGCTGGGGGAAGCGTTGGTTCCTCTGTCATGTGCAGCCTTTACATCAAGATGGAATATTTTTCTAAGCCACCCTCTCTAGGTGAGGCAGGAGCTGTGCCGGACGCGTGGTGAACACCACGGAGGAAGGCAGGTTGCGTGTCAGGAGCTGCATCCCCCGTCTGCAGGGTCCCGTGCCGGTCCCGTGCCGGTCCCGTGCCGGTTCCGTGCCGGTCCCGTGCCGGTTCCGTGCTGGTCCCGTGCCGGTTCGTCTGCCGCACGGCAGCCTTTCAGCTGTTCTCCACCCAGTCCAGGCGTCTGGCTTTCTGCTTGCAAGCGTGAAGTGGTGGGATTTACAGGAGCGGTTCATGGATGTGCACACACCCACAGATGCAGCCAAGGGGGACAGAGCACAAGAGCTGGGCCCGGGCAAACCTCGTGGGGTTCAGCAAGGCCAAGGGCAAGGTCCTGCCCGTGGGTCGGGGCAATCCCAGCACAAACCCAGGCTGGGGGGGGCGTGGTTGAGATCCTTATAGCAGCCTTCCAGTGCTTAAAGGGGCTACAGGGTTGGGGAGGGGGACTGTTTAGCAGACGGGGTGTAGGATTAGGACGAGGGGTGATGGTTTTAAACTGCCAGAGGGCAGATTTAGATGAGCTCTAAGGCAGAAATCCTTCCCTGTGCGGGGGGGGGGAGACGCCGGCCCAGGGTGCCCAGAGCAGCTGTGGGTGCCCCCTCCCTGGAAGGGTTCAAGGCCAGGTTGGACGGGGCTGGGAGCCCCCTGGGCTGGGGAAAGGGGGCCCTGCCCGGGGCAGGGGGGGGCACTGGGGGGGGCTTCGAGGTCCCTTCCAACCCAAACCATTCTGTGAGTCTGTGATGTGGAGTCTTGAGGGGACAAGATAGTAAAAAAACTCCCAACTGACATGCAGTGATAATGAGCAATAAAAACAAGCCTGCTTCTCTCTAAAACCCTCTTAAATAATACATGCATCTAAGGCAGTAGTGATTTTAAGACTTTAATTATTTAGTGACTATCAGTGGCAGAGTTGTTGCAGGGCATGGGGCACAGATGGCTCACGCCACTGGCTGCCCAGCTCTGCCCGGGGGCCGCTCGTTCCCCGGAGCCCCCCGAGCCCTCGGCTGCGCTCCGTGGGGGGCTGGACCCTCTGCCTCCCCCCGGGCTCTGCCTGCCCCCGCCCTGCGGCTCAGGCCCCCCGGACCCCTCGAACGGCATTTCGGTGCCCCGGAGGAAGGGGTTTGGACACAGAGGGGTTGGGTATTGCCTGGTAGTTACGTGCATTCAACTTCTCTTCATTTTACAACTCTCCACCAGCAAGCAGAGCGATATTTTACACTGAACATGTGGAGCTGTGCCCACGCCTCCCTGAGACACACAAAATGTGTCATTTCAGGTTATGCCATAAAAATATATGTTCTGCTGCTCACTTAAAGGTCAGCCAGAGTAGGACAGCGGTTTTATTTTATTTTTGCATAAAGGATTCAAAAGCCTTGTGTTCTTACAATGCTTTTATGGTTCCATGAGATAAGATTTTTTTTTTTTTTTTAAAAGGTCCCAGTGGGGAAATACCAGTTAAATGAGAGGGAGAAGGAGGCCAGAAGCAATGGAACTTATCCCAGGCTCTCTGGGGGTTTCCTGCCCTCGGTGCTAAAAACACCATCCATCCGAGTTGCATTTTCAGTCCTATCTGGTCTGAAGTTTCCTGCTGCTCGGCAGGAGGAGAAGCAGCTGCAGGGAGCAGTGGGGGAGCCCGTTGTGCTCCCCGGGCTCGGGCTGTCTGCTCGCTCTTCCCGGGCCGGTGATGTGGAATCCTGGCACAGGGCTGCTCAAGGAGACAGGGAAGTCTCTTGCTGACATCCTGGGAATCACTGGATCTGATGGAGAGGGGTTTATTTGCATCCAGTTACAGCCCCCCCGAGCTCGCTGGGATGTCGGGGTCTGTGGCACGCACTGTGGTCCGTGCTGTCTGTGGCGCAGGGGTGGGAAAGCGGGTGAATCCGGTGCGTGGGGAGCTCAGGTGCTTTATGGCAGGTGGGGTGGCTCTTGCCCTGCTCCCCGTGGGGCTGTCCCTCCCGCTCAAACACAGCCTGGAGCTCTGCTGAGAGCTGTCACTTGGAGGGAGGGGGACGCCCCAAACCCTGCTGCTGTGCCTCGGGCTGGGGCTGGTGCCTGGAGGGGGCTGTGCAGGATGGAAATGTCTGGGGCAGGTTTCCAGGGTGCCAGGGCAGGACATCGGATGCTCACAAGACCTTTAGGCAGATGGAAGGCTTTCCCGGCCCAAGAGAAGCCCAAGGCCCCGGGGGTGTGTGCTGCTCCCCCAGCTCTGCTGTCCGTCGGGCCCTGGCTGCGGGGCTGTGCGTGCCCCCGAGGGGCTGCGGGCCGTGCCAGGAGGCTGCCCGGCCCCCGTGGCGTGTCCGTTTGTCTTTGAGCTGTTCACGGTTTGAGTCCCGGAGCAGGCGGGTGAGCTGGGACCAGCCCTGCTGCGGGCGACGGGGGTCCTGCCCCCCCCCCCCCCGCGCACGGTGCTCACCCCGGGGCAGAGGCAGCGGCTGCGGGCACTGCGGTTTGCAGCCTGGGCTCAAAGCAAAGCTGTGCGCTTTTGAGGGAAAAGAGAGGCTTTCTGAACCTTTCTCTCCCGAGGCTCGCAGCAGTGGGCGAGCACCCCTGGGACGGCTCAGCTAACCGCAGCCCCGGGCTGCGGCACAGCGCAGCGTCTTGTCGGCGAGAGCGTCTGCCGTGGGCTGGAGAGCATCTCCGGAGCGCCGGGGCTTTGCCTTCCCCGCGTGGTGGGCAGGGGGCGAGTGCGAGCTGGAGATGGACCGTGTCCGTCTGTCCCGGTGGGACCATGTCCTTGTGTCTGCACGCCCGCAGTCAGCCGGGACGCCCGGGCTTCCTTGGTGTCACTGGCAGGGGCGCGGAAGGTGCCCGTGGGCTCAGCCAGCCGCAGGAAGAGGGAGAAGAGGCAAAATTTTCTTTATCTCCGTGCTGCACCTTTTGGAGCAAATTCAAAGGGCTTTGGCATGTTAGCAAGCTCTTATTGCACGGCTGTAATGAGCAATTTCTCAGTTCTGCCTGGCTCTCCTTCTGCTGAACCTTTTAAAATTAGCTGAAAATGAGAAGCCAGAGAGCAGAAGTGAGAGGGAGCAGAGGCGTTGTCTGGCCCTTCCTCCTGGGAAGAGCTCTGCTAATGAAGCTTTGCGGGGAGGTTTTTGTAAAAATAAGTCAAAACCACAACTATGTGCGAGTGCTGAGGTTGGAGAGTATAAAATCCCCCGTTGGGTGGTGGTGGGGAGGGCTGTGTCGAGGTGCACAGGGTGAGTGGGTGGCTCTGGACCAGAGTATGGTGGGAACGTGGGTTCATAGTCAGCCAAAGCCAAGGATCTCTGTTTATTCCTCAGATTACTTGAAAAATCCCATTAACCATAAAAACGGGGCAAAACAATCACGCTTGTTCTGTAATGAGTTGCTTTTCTTCTCACTTTCACCAAAGTCTACCATTTCTGCATACAAAAAGAATGAAAATTATCATTAGAGCTAAATTATGGTGGCATTTAAAAAGGAGGATAAAATTTATGGCCAGAGATGCTGTTACAAAATACTTCCAGGATAGGTAATTGTGTAATTATTATGGGCAGAAATGAAAGTGATGGTTCATTAAAAGAAAATGACCATGAAATAACAATAAATAAAGCCAAATTAAAGCCATGGTAATTGCACGGCCTGTCCTGCCCGTGTGCGGGCGGGTGCGTGGCTCCGGGGGACGGCAGCGGGTGTCTCTGCGCTGGCCCCGGGCTGGTGGCACCCCTGGAGAGCGCGTCCTGGGGCGGGGAGTCCTGCCCCCCCGCCTGCCCGCGGGTGCTGCTACGCACTGGGAACGGGACAGCTCTGACTGGGAGCCGGCACAGCCCGGGAGGTTGCGCTGGGATCAGCGTTTCCCAGCCGGGATGTGAAAATGCGGCTGCAAGGCAGAGGGACTTCCCCGGGCACCCCAGGAGAGATCCCATTTCCCTGAGCTTTCCTCGGAGGAGGTGAAGTGGCCGCTTTCCAGCAGCTCCCAGCACGCAGGCGGTGTTTGCTGGGGACGTGGGGATGCACAGGAGCGCTTGCCGGGGCGCAGGCCAGGTCCTCACCGTGGGACGGGTCCCACAGAGCTGGGCAGGGGACACCAGTACGGACCGTGGGGCTGGGGGTGGCTGGGGCCCCGGGACCCTCCTGGCAGCGGCTGGGGGGGGCTCAACAGGGCTGGGAGCTGAGGCTGGACGGGCAGGATGGCGAGGGCAGGTCAGGGTGGAGCGACTGCCAGACTGCTGGGAAAGGGCTGAGCAGGGGCTGGTGCTCACGGGTACCTCCAGCACCACCAGCAACACGCCGCTCTGCTCCCGCAGCCCTGCATGTCCTGCTTGTACCCTTTACTGAGCCCTTCCTCCAGTGCCTGCTGAGGGCTCCTGCCCCGTTCCTGCCCCGTTCCTGCCCCATTCGCTCCTGCCCGTGCCCTGTGCATCCTCCCAAGCGGGGGTGCGGAGCAGCCCGGGCTGATGGCCTGATGCGTGCTCCTCGACACACATTCTGGGATGTCACGCCACAGAAATGCAGCTTCCCCATCCTCCTCACAGCCTGGCTCCCGCTTGCTGCGGGAATAAAAGCCTGTTCCTGGTGACCTGGGGAAGTCTCCGTGCGTGGCTGCTGCGCTGGCTCCTCCAGTGCTCATTAAACAGGACCTGCAGGGATCACCCGCTCTCTCCATCATGGGGATGAAGTCTATCCAGCCCTGTTTGGCTAATTTGCACTGTGCTTGTGTGGGCCATTACCCAGCAAAAGTCATTGATTTGCGATGCTAACTAGCTTCTAGACCCAGATCCCAGAGGTGGTAAGCCAAGACATTAGTTTTCTTTCTTCCTTAATATTTTAATGGCACTGGGAGGGGGAGCAGCAGAGCAGCCCGGATTTCTGATGAACACCGTGACACTGCTGTGTCACCGCAGGGTGGAAACGCTGTCCCTGTCCTCCCTGCTCCAGAGGACGGTGTGAGATGGCAAGACGGGAGCGTGGGTTTGGCTGGGGTCGGAGGTGGTGGCACTCTGAAGCCAAAGGCAGCGCCACGCACCATCTCCTCTTGGAGCCAAGTGCGCATCTCGTTACCAGTGGCAATTAACTAATGTGCTCATTTGTTTCAATGAAGCTCTTGGCTTGGCCGCGGCGCTATTCATTTTGCTGGGTAGGACGGGCGTGAGGGCTGGCAGGAGCGCGAGCTCAGGTGCAGGAGGCTGGAGCAGGACCAGTGCTTCTGCCCACGGGTGGGCTGGGGGGTGCTGGGCCCAGCTGCCCGCACACCACCGGCAGCCCTGGGGCGGTTGCCAGAGGCTGGGACGGTGCTGCCCACGCCGGGCTCTGCCGGTGCCTCGGTCCCGGCACACAGCAGTGAGCGGGAGGTGGGCTGGGGGCTCGGGGTGCAGCCCCCCTGACAGCAGCTCTTTCTGCCCCCGCAGTGCACGTGGAGCCCGGCACGTGCGAAGTCATCGCAGCTCACCGCTGCTGCAATAAGAACAAGATCGAGGAGCGCTCCCAGACGGTGAAATGCTCCTGCTTCCCGGGGCAGGTGGCGGGGACGACGCGGGCGGCTCCCTCCTGCGTGGATGGTGAGTACCCCCCTGCCAACCCCCGCGCAACCCCCGGCTGCGTCGTCCCGGGGGGTCAGGCGGGTGGGGGGTGTCCGTGCCCCTGGGACTGACAGGAGACCTGCCCAGGGGCTCCTGCAGCGGAGCAGGGGGGTGAGAGAGCGTTTGGGGGCCGCTCTCCATCGGTGCGGCTCTGCCACGGAGTGGGGGTTATGATGCTCCGGTGGTTCGGGCTCCTCCGGCGCAGCATCGATCCCTGCTGCAGCCAGGGGCAGGGACGTGACTCCAGCCCCACAGCACCATCACCTGCGAGGAGCAGTTCAGCAAAGCTCAAGCCACGTATATCTTACCGAACGGCATCACGTGGCATCGCCAAAGAGCCGGCAGAACCAGCCGCAGCCTCTGCCAGCGCGGTATTGATTTGCCGGGCAGCCGATGTCCTGCAAGCGCATTCGTGTGCAACACCAAGGAATGCCAGGATGAATTGTCGGGGAAGACTTTCGTTGTCCCGGACAGCTTGTGTGTTCCCAAACAGAGGGGAGCCCAGTCTGATTACCCGCATTGCAGGCATGAATTACGAGAGCCGAACAGAGTGGAGTGGTGGTAGCAGAGCGTCTGCCTCCGTAAGTGGAGCCCGAAGCGGGTTATTGAACAGCACCGCTCTCCCTGCTCCTGCTGGGCGCAAGGACAGGGCTGTCATCAGGCTTTTTGCCTGGGGCAGTGAGAGAAAACGGGGTGTTTTGGAGGCAAGTGGAGCAGCTGGGTTGAGCGAGGCCAGGCAGGCGACGAGCAGCTCCCGGGCAGAGTTGCTCCGGCCGTGGGCTGTGCCGGAGAGGGGCAGGCAGGGCTGGCACCCCGGCACCGACACCCTCCTCCCCCCCAGCCTCCATCGTGCTGCAGAAGTGGTGGTGCCAGATGGAGCCCTGCCTCGACGGGGAGGAGTGCAAGGTGCTGCCCGACCTCTCGGGCTGGAGCTGCAGTAGCGGCAACAAAGTGAAGACGACCAAGGTACGTCCCCTGGCAGGGTGCGGGGGGGCAGCCTGGCTGTGCTGTCCCCAGCCCGGGGCAAGCAAAACCCGGGGAGGTGTCCCCAAAGAGTTTGCAGGGAAGGGCAGAGCTCCGGCTGCTCCAGGGCACGCGCTGTTGGTGAGGGATGCACCGGAGCAGAGCAGAGGGTCTGCGCTGGGCTGTCGTCGCTGGTGGCGGCGGGGGTGGCTCAAACCCCGAGTGGGTCCCACAGCTCTGCTGGTCGATGAGTCCCCCGGGGAGGCTCGGTGGGGAGGGTGTTGCGTGGCTCAGCCCGCTCACAGGCGTGCTGGCGATGTTTCTGTGCCAGCCCCATGCTGCTGGGCCATCCCGGCTGCCCCCCAGCATCTCCCCGCTGCTCCGGGGCAGCAGGTTGCTTGTCCCAGCCCCGTGGCGCAGCCCTGAATCTGTCACCGCTCCCCCGTCTGAGGCAATCAGCTGTGACAGAGCACTACATGATTATTATTTTCATGGCTTGCTGAATGCCCCAAAGAACAAGGTATAATTAAAATTTTATCAAACTCATTAGTAATTACATATATGCCATGGTTAATCAGTTGCATAATTTTGTAATCATTGTTCATACTGTTGAGTGTAATTATTCCTTATGCTTTAGTATTTCTCACCCCACCTCCTCTGCCATAAAATTATCGTATTAAGCGATGTTGGGATTTTTTCATTATCACTATCAGTTTTGTGTGCAGAAAGCCCTTTCATGCTCAAGTATTTTTATGGATGCCCAAGAAGGTTCCTCTGGCCCTGGGCATCCATCACTGACCGCTATCTGCAGCACTACTTTTAGCCCATTTTCTTTTTCCCATCTTAATATTATTTATTTTCTCCCCAGCTGCTAACTTAGCCCAAAGCCTCTGCTCTGGCTTTGCTGTCCTGGGCTCTCACTGGGGACCGTTCCCGTCGGCAGGAGCCCAGGGCTTCTGCTCTCCCCAGTCTCCATGGCCACCCTCCAGGCTCCCCATCGGGGCCTTTGCCCTCCCCGAGGGAGCGGCATTGTGGAAATACAGACCTATGTTGCCAAAAGGACTTTTGGTGATTGTGGGTGCCCCGTTAGGAACTGTCCCCAGGGGGGCTGGGTTTGCCCCTCCCAGTCCCCTCTGCAGACAGGCCCCAGTGGCAGCGGTAGCCAGAGCACGGGGTTCACAGACGATCCATAAGCCAGAATTTGGAAGGACCACCCCATAAATGAATGCGAAGAGCAAATCGTATTCGCATCCCCTGAGGCTGTTCGCTGGCAGCGCGCGGCGGGGAGGCAGCTGGACGTGGTGGGTGACTCGCCCGCTGCAAACAGACGGAGGGTTGCTGTTAGCAGGCGCCTGCCCCGCTCGCTCTCCCCCCTTCCCCTCTCCCTCTCCTCTCCCGCAGGTCACGCGATAGCCGGCAGCCTCGGCGCGGGTCCCCGCGGCTCTGCGGAGCCGGCGGCAGCGGGACGGGGTCCCCCCGCTCCAGGGCCACCATCCCGGTACCGGATCAGAGCACCCGCCGAGCCCCGGCTGCCCCGGGGGCTGCGGGGATGGGACCCCAGCGCGGCTGCACGACTCCCGTCGCTCCACGGCCCCCTCTGCTGCGGACACACTCGCCAACCAAGAAATGGGCTCCTTTTCTTATTCTGTTAAATAAAATGCTCCGATCGTGTAAGAGCTGTTGACAATACAGACAGTGGGCGGTCCCCCAAAATGGGCTTTATTCTGAAATAGCTGGAATCGTTGCTGTGAGTCACCTTTCCCCACCTCCCAAGGTGTCGAATCAGGGTCACTGTCAGGAATTGGGAAGTCAGCGGTTGTGTGAAACCCTCCCCGGTTTGGCTCACGGCTCCTGGCCCCGTGGGTTCCCAGGAGCCAGCGCTGAGCCCCGGCTTGATCTCGTGTCCCCCGGGGGCCGGGGGGTTTCTCTGACCCCCAGAGCGTTGTGCTTTGCCTGCCCCAGGACCTGGCTGCTGTGACCACATGTGGCGGATGTGGCAGTGTGGCCGGGGGTGTCTGACACCCCGTCAGCCCCCCAAGATGGTGAAATGTCTCCGTGGAGCATGATGCTGGTTTCTCCTTCCTCAGTAATTGCATTAATCAGGCTGTGAGTTTAATATCCATTCTCTGCCGCGCAAGTCTCAGGCACCAAGTTACTGCTTGTGTTCGCAATTGAATTTCAGAATAATGTGTGAGGGAAGCCCCTTCTGTCTGTGGGTCTGGTGCCTGGCGCTGTGCAGATGCCCAGCCAGAGACCCAGCCCATGCCAGGCTTCGCTCTGTTCATTCAAAATAAAGAGAAATGTCCCACCTCCTGGCCCTGAGCTCGTGCCCTTCTCTAGGAGGCACCGTCCCCCCGGTGTGGCAGCTCGAGGGGGAGAGGATGGGACCCCACGGTCCCGCCGTCGGCAGGGCTGGGGTGCCCAGGGCCGCTGCACTGGTTAGACTGGTGACACACGTACTGAGCAAGAGCATCGCTGCGGGACGCGGGGCCAGTGCCCCCCCGGGCACCCCAGCCCCCCTCCGTGACCCGCGTGGGGGGACGTGCCGGGGGCTGGAGCTGGCGCTGCCGCTGGCGGGACTCGTGATTTAGATGTTTTTGTAACGGGGTATGTAATACCAGCTCCAGATGTGATGTAAATACCAGACTGTGAAATAATAAATTCATTTTAATCTCTGCAAAGGATCTTTTCATCCCACAGCGAAGGGAGGCTTTGGGAGCGCTTCTCTTGCCGGCCAGATCCGTGGTGGAGGGGCTGGGGGCTCTGCTCTGGCCATTCCGATCCCGAGCGGCTCGTGCAGCGGCGGCCGCTCTCATTACTCATGCAACTGTCTTAATTCTCTGGCTCAATAAAATCTTTTGGCTGTGACTTACACTCTCTAATTACACGTTGCATTAAAAAGGCATACTCTTTCATTTAGCCGAGCCGCAGAGGAACAGTTCAGGCGATGTTCAGCGGGCTGGTTTTCCTCTGGATTTCACTGACGTTGCCGCAGGGATGAGCCTGCCCGTGTCTCCCCACTTCCACACGCTGGGGTCTGGCCAGCAGCGACCGGCTCCGGCTCCGGCGGGCAGGTAGCCGTGCCTCAGGGCCACGGGCTCCGGCGGGCAGGTAGCCGTGCCTCGGGGCCACGGGCTCCGGCGGGCAGGTAGCCGTGCCACGGGGCCACGGGCTCCGGCGGGCAGGTAGCCGTGCCTCGGGGCCACGGGCTCCGGCGGGCAGGTAGCCGTGCCTCGGGGCCACGGGCTCCGGCGGGCAGGTAGCCGTGCCACGGGGCCACGGGCTCCAGCGGGCAGGTAGCCGTGCCACGGGGCCACGGGCTCCGGCGGGCAGGTAGCCGTGCCACGGGGCCACGGGCTCCGGCGGGCAGGTAGCCGTGCCACGGGGCCACGGGCTCCAGCGGGCAGGTAGCTGTGCCATGGGGCCACGGGCTCCGGCGGGCAGGTAGCCGTGCCTCGGGGCCACGGGCTCCGGTGGGCAGGTAGCCGTGCCACGGGGCCACGGCCGCTGATGCGCTGCCAGCACGTCTGTCCTGTCTGCGGCCCTGCGTGGCTCAGCTGCTGGGTTACCCAGCAAAGGGATTTCATCTTTTGTCGAGTGTCTGGCTCCATCTTTTTGGTACTATCCGTTGCACCATCTGGAACAGTTTGAGGAGCAGCAGAGGGTAAAGCCACGCCGGGGAGGAGCCGGCGGCTGCCCACGCGCCCGTGGCCATCGAGCTCTCCTAGCATCAGGCCAGCGCTGAGCTCCTGGTGGGACAGCCCTGGCTGCGTCGTGGCTTTCTGTCTTGGGCAAGTGAATGAACAAAAATACCCTTGAGATGGCTTTTCTCCGTGAAAGGAGTGAGATGAACCTGGGCCACAAGTTATCAGGAGAAGGGATGCATGGCAGAAGCCTTCTTCCTTTGGGAAACAAGACTAAGATGGACAAAAGATACAGAAAAAACCACCGTCGGCTTTCTGTATCTCTCCCGATGAAGAGTCACAGTTGGTGGGAGATCTTATCAGTCAAAAGCAGCAAATGGAGGGAGAAAAAAACCCAGAAACATTCAGAATGATCAGCAAGAGATTCCTCAGCATTGAAAAGGAGGATCTGTCCTTGCAGAGAGGAAAAAACTCGTCCCCCGAGCACGGGCAGCGCTTGCAAGGAGGGAGGTGGAGGGCAGGGGACGGGACGGGACAAGTTGTGCCGCGCTCCAGGCTGGGGTGTGGGGCGAGGAACGGGGCTGCTGGGCTGGAGTAAACAGCCGGTCAAGCTCATTTATCGAGCTCTGTCCCTGGCATGAATAATTTACCCCCTGCTCTCCGATGACGGCTGGAGAGAGCTGGGAGGCTGAGCTGGGCTGCACAAACCAGCGCTGCCCTCAGGCCCTGCTCAGCTAAAACCAGCCTAGAAAAGCCAGGGAGCCCCCGGGCCGGTGCCTCCAGCGCCAGAAACTGCTGCTGCCAGAGGGGCCCTGCACCCTGGGGGCTGTGGGGCAAGGACAGGGCCCGGGGGTGGGAAGGGTGGGGTGTGAGGGCAGCTGGGGGCAATTGGCAATCTGGCCCTGGGAGAGCTTAAATAAAGGAGGCGGGAGGGGGGCAGCTGCTGTTGCTGCAGAAGGGGGGATGCTGCTGCTGCTGCAGGAGCAGGTACTGCCTTTCACTTCTCTCATCGCTGCGTGGTGCAGGAGCTGGGCTGGGGCTGGGCTGAGGTTCCCCCCCCGCCAGCCGTGTGCCAGGGTGGTCGGGGTGGGGAGCAGCAGGCGCTTCAGCTGCTGGTCCTGCTGCTCTTGGGGAGCAATGTGGCTCTGAGATGCTCCCGCTTTGTGCTTTCTTAGCAACCTTCCCGTGTCTCCGTTATCCCAGTTCTGGCTCGTACTGGGTTGTGCCCTTCCGTGGTGTCTGGGGTGGTGGAGGCATCTCGGTGCCCCGGGCCCGTTGCTCTTGTGCAGGGGGGGGTGGGGGGGAGCAGCTCGGTGCTGCCTACACCCCTAATGTGTCTGTCTGGGGGGGTTCTCCGTGCCCCTTGCCTCAGTCCAGCTGTGGGCAGATGGTGCTTTGTTGCTGCCCTCTGCCTCCGTGGGGGTGTGCAAGGGCTGCTTCCATCTGCTCCCACTCTCCTGTCACACCTGACACTGTGCTGGGAGCTGTAATTGATTCCAGTCCTTGGGCCAGGCGCTGATTGCTCTGCCTGCACCAGTGAGGGGGGGGCTCCCACCCCTCCCTCCGCTCCCGGGGCTCTGGCAGTTATTCCTCCGTGCTATTCCTTGCTGCAGTTCCTGCTCTCAAGGCTTTTACAACTAGTCTGTATGCAAGTGAATTCTGGCCAAGGAAGTTTAGTTGGCTGAGATGCCAGAAACGGGTGACCCCAAATCAGCCCTGGAAAGCAGCAGCCAGGGACAGCGGGAAGACGAGCGGCCGGGGGTGTGTGGGGTGGGGGGGTACTGGTGCTGGTGTGACTGCTGCGGTGTATGTGGTGGCAAAGGGTGCTTGAACTGTGCCCCTCCGGGAGCAGATCCCTGCTGCAGCTGCTGAGCTGGGGTGGCAGAAGCTCAGCCATGAATAAGCTGCACCCGGAGATCCCCGAATGCCTGTGCCCCCCCCAGACCTGATCCCGGTTAGTCCAAGTGGTCGCCGGGCTGGGAGCTCTGGTCAAACACCTTCTCTCCCTCCAGTACTGACTGCGTGAGCGTGTGCTTGAGGGAAAGAAAATCGCCTGGCTCTGGAGGAGAGCTGAAAGCCTCTCCTGGCCAGCAAAGGCTAATTAGCTCATAGTGATTCCAGAGCAATGCACGTTAATTTCTGGCGGGTGCTTTGCTGAGGCTTCCCCTGCCCTGTCCCTTCTTAGCACGGTGGCTCCCATCGCTGCAGTGATGCCACCGCTCCCCAGGGCTGGTCTGTGTTTGTGCTGTCCCCCACCACGAGCCCTGTGTTGAACGCAGGGTGAAAGTCTGTTATTTCTAATAACAAACTCTGAGCTGCCGCTGGGAGCGTCCCTGCTCAGCTAAGCACATTCGTAGTTGGCTCATAATGTGAAGGATCCACTCTGCAGAAGTGTTGAGCTTGACACCTACATTGATATAAAAACATTTTATTGTCTGCATAATAGCCACCCTTAACGCTTATTTTTCACTTACTGCAATACAGGGTTTAGTGAGGAAATAGCCCCTTGGTGTCTCTGAGTGCTGACCTTGCCTGCTGCATACTGCTGTCACAGTGAAGCATACAAATATGGAAAATTGCTGCTCCTGCCCTGGCAGGGAAACACTTTTCAGAGGAAAGTGCTGCAGCCTGCAGTAGTGCTGGTTTTATCTGCTGTCTCCCGGGGGGAGCCAGGCTCGGATGCTCCTGCCGCGGCTCCTGGCACTCCTCCCTTGCGCTCTTTCTGTATTTGCAGTGCTTTCCTGTGGCCAAACAAGCAGAACATTTCCAGCAGGAGCATTAAGCCAAGGAAGGGTGTGATGGAGATGGGAACGTGCTGCGCTCTGGCTTCCTCCTGAGTCTTTGGTCCCTCGGCGGGACGGTGCTGCCCCCGCGGCCCCCGGCTGCCTCAGACTCCCTGTCCCCTTCTCTCTGCGTGGGACCGCGTTGCTGGTCCCCTGGGGGGGGGGGGGGCAGAGGAGCCTCTGTGGCCACGTTGGAGGCTTAGAGACCTCGAGAGCCTGGCCCAGGAGCAGCACCGTGCCCAAGTCCCCCGAAGCTCAGTCTTGGCACCTTAGTGCAGCAAATGATGGGGAGCTTGCACAGCCAAGACTTGCAAGTTGCCAAAGGGGTGATTAGTCAGAGGAAACTGTCACAGTTAAGGTACTTTCAATATCATCTCCCTGGGTATTATAATTACACCCCACTCAATTAGTCTTCAGGAAAAAATGCCTTTTGTATTAAGGCTTAGTGGAGAATTATTAGAGAGTGAATTAAAAGACAAGGATTCCATTTTACTTCACAATAATAAAGGCATAATGTATAAAATACCCAAAAATTACCAGCTGACTAAATTTAGAGCTGTACTAGGAGGCGAAATGAAAGGTAAAATGAAACCCTTTGAGCAGCTACGATATGTAGTACAAGGCAGGTATTATCTGAGAAATAAGATGGAAACATAATTAACCACCCGGCATTACGCTGAAAGATGGCAAATTGAAATGGGAGACAAAATTAGGTGAAATTGCAGAGCAGCCTCATTTAGTTCTGCTTTATAAATCAGTGCTACCTGTCAGCAGCAGTGCAGGCCCGCTCCAGAGCAGGAGCTTTCCGAGGGATGCTGCTGGCGGGGACCGTGCCCGTGCCCGGAGCCGCTGCTGCCTCCGGGACCCGCGTCCCCGGCCCTTTCCCTCGCCCGGTCTGCGGGGTGGGCTGTGGCTGCCCTTCCCCAAACCTGGGTTGCTGTCCCTCGTGTTTTGCTGCTACAGCCAGTGCCACCCTTGTCACTTCTGCCAGTCTTGCCGGGAACTTGCCTTTGGTGGCCTCTCGCACTGACGAGTTGAACAGCCCAGTTTAGGGCTGGAGGAACGTTTTCTTCCACTGGCTTTAAATTTCTTCCTCTCAGACTTAATTGGCTCCCCGGTCCTGTAGCAGGAAGAGGCGGAAGCAACCTCTGCCACCTCTGTACTACTGCTGTCATTCAGCTTGCTCCTCTGGCCGTTTGGTTTATTGCTGCTTTTACAATTAGTTCAAGCACAGACAAGAAAAAACTTTGCCTTTTCCAGAAGCAGAAAGATTTTTTTCTAGAATCACCTCAGCTTTGGAAAAACATTGCCGTACAGGTCCCACGCTGTGTTTAGGAATGCAGGAAACCAAAAGTGGCTTTATCAGATGAGAAGCAGAGTCAATCTCATCCAGTTTACGTGGTCCAGAGGGGCGGGAGGTGCACACAGCTGTTCCGGCGCTCCTGTGTCTGTGTG